AATAAAAGATCTAGGGATACCGTATACTTGTGATGGCAGTCTCCTTAAACTTGATCATTAGTCAGTGATCTGCTTTTCTTCAGCTGTTAGAAAGTTGGCTTACCTTTGATACACTTTTAGAATGCAGAAATCTTGTTTTGCTGTAGTTCTGTCACATTTAGTGGTTCAGTTTGTTCATCTACTTTTTTCTAAACACTATTGGTAGTTAACTTTTAATTTTAAAGGTGCTTTTATCACTCCTCAATATTAATACTATAATCCTGGCATTTTATTTTACTGAGTGAAATGTAAACTCTAGTATTTAAAGCCTGCATATATTTCTCATATGCAATTCTGAAATAGAGAAACACTTAAACCGGGTTTTGTTTTATTATTTGTAAATTATACCTCAAAATTGGTTAGACAACAGGGACCCATTGTATAGCACATGTAGCTCTGCTTAATGTTATGTGGCAGCCTGGATGGGAGGGGGCTTTGGAGGAGAATGAACACATGTCTGTGTGTGGCTGAGTCCCTTCTCCATTCACCTGAAACTGTCACAGCATTGTTAATTGGCTATACCCCAGTACAAAATAAAAAGTATGAAATTTGGGGGAAAAAATAAATCAGGAAACAAAAAGAAACTGGTTAGAAAAACTAACTGAACTACATATTTAAGATCTGTTCATTTAATTGTTTGAGTCTACCTTAATTTTAAACTCTTCTTTTAAAAGTATTGTGTGCATAGCTTCTATTTTCCCAATATTTTTGTTAGCTATCTCCAAATTTCGGTGTGCTCTCGTCAACCAAAAATGTACAGATTAATAAGTCCTTCGGCTGCATAAAATCAGTCACACACACTGTTGTTATTTTGGCCCTTATTTCCTCAGAATGAATTTTTTTTTCAGTTATTCATATCAACTGTTTCTTCCATTTTCTTTCAGCTACACCAGCTGGACTGCTCAAGATTGTTTCATGTCATAAGGCAAATTTGTACCTATTGGTGAACACTTCCAAATAACAACTAGAGTAAGAAATTAAAAAAAATTTTTTTCCGTTCAAGTCATTTTTCTGTGCTGTGTAGCATTTCCCTGAAAGCTTAATCTCATCCATAAAAGATGTGATGGATACATTACTGCTAGATTAATTTGTTTAATCTCAAGTGGGTTTATAATATATTATCATACTTTTAAATTGCTGTCTAGTCTCTCGTATGAGTCAAAAACCTTGCCATTTTGTAGGTTTTTCTTATAAGTAAGTAGAATAGCAGAAAGTGGACTTTCTCCTTAAATCCAAGGTGAATGCATACATGGTTTAAGAAGTTAAATAGTACCACGGTGGTCTTATAATCCAGTTATTTGCTGCCCACATCTCCCCATTCCCAGTCTTTCTCTTTATGAATGACTTTTGAACTCTTTGAGCCTGCTTCGAGCTTGTATTTATTTCCAGTTTTTAAGGAAAATGTTTATCCTTGGATTCATTAGTTTAGATCTTCAGTGAGTTATGTCATTTTCTTAAACAGCCATCCCTTCTGCTATCCCTCTTTGCTTCCCCTTCCCCATTCTCCCAGTATGTTATACTTTTTGGTGAAAGCCATATTCATTGTTTACACTGTTTGCCTAGCACATAGTCACAGATAGTGTTGTACTGTCATGCTTTCCTTTTTAATAGATTTTCTTGTAGTTATTGATTGCCTTTTCTTCATTTGCATAGTTTCTTTTCTGCCTGAGTCAGTAGGGAAGCCCCTACCTGTTGTTAACTCTTCTCATGCCTTCTGAGAACCTCTCACAACGATTTTCCACAAGTTCAGTTAGCACTAGCCAATAGAAATACAGTACCAGCCATGTATGTAGTTCTGCTTTTTCTAGTAGCTGCAGTAAGAAGGGGCTTCCCAGGTGGCGCTAATGAGAGACATAGGAGACATGGGTTCGATCCCTGGGTCGGGAAGGTCCCCTGGAGAAGGGCATGGCAATCCAGTATTCTTGCCTGGAGAATCCCACGGGCAGAGGAGCCTGGCAAGCTACAGCCCATGGGGTCGCAAAGAGTCAGACACGACTGAAATGACCTAGCACGCAGCAAGAAAGGTAAAAGGAAGCAGATGAAAGCAATCGTATAGCGTGCTTAATCCAGCATGTTCACAGTGTCATTTCAACCAGTAGTCAGTGTTTCACGCATTTGAGATATTTTTCTTTCTTTTCTGAGTACTAAGTTATCAAAACCCGATGTGTGTTTTCTACACGTGCACGCCTCTCTTTTCAGACTTGCCATGTCTCAGGTGGCTCACGGCTACTGTGTCAGAGCAGGTTCGGTGATTCCGCAGCTGCCGCTCGGATCAGAGGAGGCGTCCCTCCTGGACACCTCCGTCCCTCTGTCTGGTCACTTGCTCTGAAGACTGCCACATGGTGACCATCTTGAGACTGCTTTGCCTTGCTTCTCAGTTGGCGTCCCTGTTTTCTGGACTGCAGGTATTCCCATCCCCCTCTGGTGGTTTTGCTCAGCCGTGGTGGGCAGAGGCACGCTGTCGGCGTGTCCGTCTCTTGAGTCACTCTGGTCTGGTCTGGCTGCTCGCCTCCTGGGGCTGCTGCGCAGCTGTCATCCTGGGGCCTCCCCTGCCGCAGCCTGCACGGAAATTTCCTGTGCCTTTGCTCTTGTGGTGGATCCTTGTTTGTTTGTTTGTTTTTCCCCCGAGTATCTTACATCGTTCTCTTCCTTGGTTTTTTTCCTTCACTCAGGTGGAAACTCCGGTGATTGCTGAGAAAAGGGAGCAGAGGTGGTGGGCTTTCTGAGACCCTGTAGATCTGAGCCATTTCTCTTCGTTCCCTCTTGTGTGACGATTATTGGGGCTGTGTATAGAATTCTAGGTTAGACATCATTTTTCTTCAGAATTTTGAAGGCATTGCTTACTTGTCATTCAGCTTTCAGTGTTCGTGCAGAATCTGAAGCCATTCAGATCCCCTTACCTTTTGAAAGTGAACTATGTTTTCTTCCTGGAAACTTACAGAATCTTCTCTTTGTTGGCGAGATCCTGGACCTGCACATTACTGTGCTCCAGTGTGGGTCTGTGTCCAGTGTGAGCACTTGATGCGTCTTGTAGATTTCCTTGAACTATTTTTTAGTGTTTTCTTTCCTTGTATTTTATTCTGCTTCATTTTCCATTGTTATTTATTTAGGCTTTGCCTTCTAGAAAGGCAGAGTTTCTTCTCCCTTTATCTTCTGACTCTTTAGTTAAGCTTATCATTTCTGCCATCTTGCTTTCAAGTTTTTATCCAACATCCTGTTCTTAATCCATGAATACAGGATCTTATCTTTCTGAGTATATTAATGATAAATATATATATATTTTTTCCCCTCCCCCTCTTATTAATGATAAATATATTTTAAAGCTTTTGTTTCTCTGCACTCTATTTCCTCCAAGGGGCTTGTTTTCCCCCTCTTTTGTTTTTCCTTTAAATCTCTTTCACACTAGAGCCGTTCCTTCCTCTGACGTCTCTTACTCAGTAGTCTGTGCGTAATGAAGACGGGGGCCTTCCAGGGCCTACTGCAGGCTCCCAGCGGGTGCACGGGGCTGGTCAGCACACCTCTGCCTCAGGCCTCTGGGTGCAGCTGGGCTGTTACTTGCTTACCCTCATGAGGGTATCTTTCGGTCTTTCCTCTTATTTGCTCTTACCACCTGAATGGTGCTCTGCCCCCTGATTCACATTTTCCAGAAAGCGAATCTCCAGATTTCAGCAGAGGTGTGAGGCGGCAGGACCCCAGCAGCAGGAAATGGGAGGTGGGGGTGGAGATGCAAATCCTCTCATCCAGCCCCGCCCCACCCCTCCATGCGGTGAATCCCACCCCTCGTTCCAGAAGCAGGCTTCCTGCCCTTCTGGAGGGTTCTGTGGTGGAAACCAGGCCAGCGCTCTGCTGTCCCCACCACCGGCTTATGACTGGGCATCCTCCCGCCTGCCAGCTGCTCGTCAGTCTGATTGCCATCTTCCAGAGTTGTGCTGCTGTTGTCTGCTCTCCTGTTCTCTCACCGCGGGCTTGCCCTTTTTTTTTAAGTTGTGGTAAAACATATATAACATAAATTTACCATAATAACCATTTTTAGGTGTACAGGTAAGTGGCATTAAGTATACATGCACACTGTCGTGCAAGCCTGTCTTTTCATGATAGCACTAGTAAGACAGACGTGAAGGAAAAGACCTCTCAGTGGGGTTATAGTGGTGTTGATGTAGGGCAACATGAGATGTGTGGTCTGTCTAGCAGGACACATGCTGCAGTCTTCTGTGAGTCCAGGCACTTGCTCTTTCTGACAGTTTGATTTAATGGAATTTGTTTACCATCCCCTCGGAAAGCATTTGGGGCTTCCCAGGTAGTGCTAGTGGTGAAGAATCCACCTGCCAATGCAGGAGACTTAAGAGATGCAGGTTTGATCCCTGGGTCGGAAAAATCCACTGAAGCATGAAATGGTAATGCGCTCCAGTATTTTTGCCTGCAAAATTCCATGGACAGAGGAGCCTGGCAGGCTACAGTTCATGGGGCTGCAAAGAGTTGGACATGACTGATCGTGTGTGTGCGCACACACATACGGGAAAGTGTTTGGATAGTTGTTTGGCAGAAAAGGCATTTTATCTGCTCGTGATAAACTGTAGCTTTACAAGAGGTTGCAGGTGGAATCCCCAGGCCAGACACAGAGGGCTCTCCACGGTCTGCTCCCACCCACCTGTGCGCTCCAGCCCTGTGCCTCTGCAGCGTTGGGTGTTCCTGAGCGCTGCGCCCCGTTCCACGTTGTTTCAGCTCCCAGCCCCATGCCCCTTCCTCCCACCCGCGGCACGTGGTTGTCCTTCTGTCCTCCTCCCATGACCTTGGACATGCCTCTGAATTAGCACCTTGCCTTTCCCACACTCCCCAGTTCCCTTTGATGTTTCTTTCTGCGCCACGTCTTCCTCAGTGCTTGGCACGTGGCCTGCACACAGTCAGCTGGATTCCTGGTGCCAGAGATTTCAAGAGAGAACTCTTTATCTCTTATTTTGTAGGATATCCGACATGAAGCCAGTGACTTCCCATGCAGAGTGGCCAAGCTTCCTAAGAACAAAAATCGAAACAGGTACAGAGACGTCAGTCCCTGTAAGTATTCACACACCACAGTTACCTGCTCCCACCCAGCTGGCTCCTCCGAGACTGCGAGCCTCTCAGATTCCTTTAGCCCCGGGGTTTGGTAATAAATCAATAGCAGTCAAGGTTTATGACTTGATTGTTTCCTATAATAAAAGTATTAGAGACTTACAGTAATGGTTCACTTTTCCGCCCATGGAGAAGGGATAAGTTTTCTGTTTCTAGAAAATTCAGCGAAGTTCAAAGCACTTCTCTTAGCTTTGACTATTTTAATGATGAATCATTTTCCTACCAGCTGAGTGTGTGTAATGGCACGCATAATATAACCCCTTCTGGGTGACTCAGCGACATTATTGTTAGGCCCCAAGCATTGTACTGACCGGTAGCGATGCCCTGCACTGGCATGGGTGGGTGGAGGGGGAAGCACTCACCCGCCGCCTCAGCTAGACACGCGGTCGCTCTGCTCACTGACCTCACCTCTCCCCCCACCCCACCCCTCCCCCATCACTGTTTTTCTGGCTCTTTCCTGCCATTAGCCCTCAGTGTGCCCGCTGGCAGCCGCCCCTGCCTTCTGAGTGCTTGACTCTCAGTCCGCTGATGAGTGCTTGACTCTCAGTCCGCTGATACCTCCAAAGTGAATAAGTGTCAGAATCTGTGTAAAGTGAGAGAAGTGGGGCGGAGGGGAGAACAGGAGCTTCACCGCCTCCTCTGGGTCACAGAGAGCGTTGGGACTCAGCTCCTCGCGGCGTTGCTCAGCAGCGAGGGCCGTGGCTGCGGCAGCTCCACAGCAGTGCCCTCTGCCGGGGCCATGACTATGCTGCCAGGCCCCGGGGCAGGCCCGTCCCGCCGAAGCCCGCTGTGCTGGAGCTCCCGTGGCTGGCATGCCGGCATCCTGCCGGATGGTGCAGCGCCCAGTCCCTGGGAGGGGGGTGAATCAGACCTGGGCTGGTGCTGAGCAGTCTGCCTCCAACGGCTGCCATGGCTCTCCGCCCCTCTGAGCAGGCGGCCTCAAGCGGGGTTGCCCTCTCTGATCTTTAGCCACACAGGAGTCACAGGGATCTCAGGACTGGGCGCACGCTGAAGTCAGGTTGCGTCAGCGTGTAGCCCTGTGTCTCACTCCGTGTTGAAGTGCCCGCCAGGAGCATCCACCGTGCAGGTCTAGGTCAGGTGACACAGGATTTAGCACTTCTAGGCTATGGCCCCACATAGATTTTATTTAAAAATAATACTCATGGCCCCTTCTCAGGGAATTCTGCCACGAGGCCCTGGCCAGCTGCCCTGCGCCAGAATCACCATCACAGTTCACACCGTACACACGGCGCCCACCGAGCCCTTGGTCTGTAGCCTTTGGTGTACTCACTCTGAATTAGGCAACAGTATTATCTTTCATATTTCTTTTCTGTGTTTGCAATCAGTATTCATCTAAATAATTTTGTAAATCAGCTTTATAGAGAAAAAAACAGCATTTGAAATATTCTTCCAGGGATACAATTCCCAGACTTTTTAACCAGTCTTTAACTCCTTGCATTTTTCTCCCCTGCCCTCCACTCTTCACTAGAGAAGGTAGTTTGCTTTTAAAGCTATGAAGGAAATGGGGAGAATGTTTCAAGGTAGAAGGTGATCCTATTGTCTTCCATTTGGCAGGTGACAAACACAGCACTCAGAAGATACGTTGTCTGCCCAAGGGCACCACCCGGTGCTGGGAGACCTCTTATGTCCATGGCCTGTCTCAGTGTCACCCAAGTGTTTCAGTGTCCTGACCCTCTCTGATGAGAAACATTATTCCAAACAATGGCTAATTGACTAAACATCTCTTTGAAATGCTTTCGAATAGAAATCCCCTAACTGCTTATCCCCGTTAAAGTTTTCCTTTCTTGCTGGGCACGGGGAGAACTATTTATGTGTCATCACTGAGTTTACCGTCCCTTGTGTTACCAGAAATAAAAACACCCACCTGTGCTTGTTAAAGGCCCTGGCAAGATAAAGTTGCTCTTGGGAAAATAGGACTTCTGTGACAAAACTGTGGTAAAGAGGAAAAGAAGTGGCTGTCTTTTTTAGTAATCCAGGGCAGACCATTGGAACGCAAGTGTATTTCCAAAAACTACTCCAAAAGTCACTTTTAATGTGTTTTCAGTGTCCTGTGTTGAATTCAGACTCTTATGTTTCCCTGTTAAACTCTCTTTTAAATGTCTTTGATTGTGACGTTTGTGTTATACTTCAACTTTTTTAAAGACAACCTTGTATCAAGGAATTTGAGGTATGAATTTTCACACTGTTGTATACTTCAGCCATTTAATTTTGGAAGCATTAGACACAGGTGAGGCTAAGACATGATCGTAAATCTTACCAACTTGGTTCATTGTACCCACTTAAGCTCCAGGGACTGGGTGGAATATTGGTGGATTTCGTTCCCTTTTAAAGATCAAAGTCATTGCATTTTTCACTCATAAAGGTATATTTTAGGCCTCAGAAAATAGATTCCTTGATGTCCCGTCCCCCCCGCCCCCCCGCCCCCGTCTTCTGAGGTGTGAGGACAGTAATAAATTTTATAAAACAATAAAGCCTAGAAACAGATTTCCCAAACAGGAGTTAGTCTCTGTTTTAGTGTAATTTGTTTCTGTTACTATTTTGTATTAAGTTTCAGATACTTTCAAAAACCTTCTGAAAGTACTAGTTGTTCCCATAATTGGAGACACTAATTTAATCTCAAAACAGTTTGGACTCACCCAGTGTGAACGCCCTGAGTGCTCACTTGCCTTCTCTGCTTTCCCCGTAGGGCGCATCACCTCTGCAGGCACTTAAGTCCCCCCGGATTAACCTTGCATTCTGGTTTGCCTTTCAGTTGACCACAGTCGGATTAAACTTCATCAAGAAGATAACGACTATATCAATGCTAGTTTGATAAAGATGGAAGAAGCCCAAAGGAGTTACATTCTCACCCAGGTAAACAGAGTCTGAATTTTTCTGTAATGGTTTTTGCCTCTTTGCACAGGCTAAGAGTGACAGTGCCATAATCCACGCCTCAGATAAAGTTTTCCACATCTTTTGGATCAGGTTTCTAACCCAAAATAGCAACACGGAAGGGAAAAGTCTTCCTTCAGAGATTCAGTCTGATCATGACGTGAATCTTTTCTGGGAAGTATGGCACTCCTGGGTTTGTAGACAACAGCAGTGAAGTGCCAGGGTTGTCTATCTACTTTGTTGACAGAGGCCGTAGCCAGAGAAGACGGTACCCGTGTTGAGTCTCTAAGTGTTTGCTTCAGGGCATCAGGGCTGCTTATGGACTTGAAGAGGCCAGAAATCTTTATCCAGATGGCCTTTGACAATTCCTCTGCATGATCCTCATTCTTTGAGGGTGGAGGGGTGAGGTAGATTATGTGGAGAAACATGCAAAATCACCTGAAACTCCCATTGGTTTTTGGCATCTTTATGGGAAAAGAAATCACAACAGTGGTTTCATAATTGGCCTTTTGTGAAACACTGGTATATGACCCAAAGACTACGGGAGTTTGAGGAAGGGGGTGAAGGGGTCTCATTTAACTGATTTTCTCAAGTCTTCATCTGTTAGTGGTACACTGATACACACAGTCTAAATCTCTCTCTCTCTTTAAATCCTGATTTTCTTTTCTCTCTTTCCATGTCAGTTTCTCAGGCTTATGTAAGGTTCAGGGTGACTGTGAACATCATAACTCTGTCTAATACTTGGAGACTAAAGTGACACTGAAGCTAGGAAGCACAGGGAACAAAGTCTGCTTTGGGGCGGGGCATTTTCCTGGCGGCCCCTCTTGACTGTCCCCTTTGTCCCGTCCGGGTTCCTCCCCACACATGAGCAGAGTCGGCCCAACACCCCCACAATCATTGTATGGAACATCAGTCCCGGCCCTTCTGGGGTTGGCGTGAGGGGCAGGGAGACCTTGGTGGCAAGCTGGTGGGAAGAGGTTGCGGCAACGTGGCTTTTTGGGAACTTCTCTTTTAGATGTAGTCAAGTTTCTTACTTCCTGATTTCAGCCATTCAACTTTGGTCTGGGGTCAGCAAGCCCAACGCAAGGATAGGGTATATAAAGTCAAACGGGCATTAGGAAATCACTGTGAAAACTTTTACCCCGCTATCCTCCCCGCCCCCACATCCTCGCAGTTGTTTGGCACGTCTGAAGTTCCGTCTGTCCATCAGATCGTGCCCCAGATGTGTCCAGCTGCTTGCTGACATGGCCTCCCTCTGCCCTGAGACGTATGGAAGGGGTTCAAGCAGCCTGGCCCCAAAGTTGCGCCCCTGGATGGTGGGACTGAAAGCATTTCCATGCCACAAAACCAAGATCACTGTGCCCAGTTTTTAAATGTCGTTCAGTATGCAAATAACACAAGGCTCTCGTCTCATTTTTTAAACCTGTAGAGAATAATGTCACGGATCGTGGCCTTCACGCCCACCTTCAAGTACTGGCTGTTCAGTGTGTGGCCTTTCAGATCCTCCATGACTTTAGTCCCTCAGACCCGTTCTGGACTGGAGTGATGTTTGGGGCCATAACGAGAACTCCAGCTGTGGGGCCCAGAGATGCCGCAGCCCTTGCCCACCTGCGACTGTCTGGGTGTCTCATCTTGGGTTCCGTGCTCCAAGGATGAGGAGAATCTATGGTTGGGTTAGCCATTAATAGGAATAACAACAATAGCTCACACTTCTTTGGGTGTCCCCCGTGTTCTGGGTCCTGTGGAAAGGCACAGTAAGTCTGTGACCATCTTCACAGCCCTGTGAGCAGGTGCCCTAAAGACTAGTGAGCTGGGTGGAGGCGCCGCGGGAAGACAGGCAGGGTGCGCTGTCCTCATGCGGCTGCTCACCTGCAGCCAGCAGTGGTGCCCGCTGTCCACCGCCCAGCACAGAGGTCTCTGGTGCCCTTGCTCCGGCCAGCCCAAATCAGAAAGCAGAATCAGTGTTTCCTCTCCTCTGTCACTTGGCTCTGAACCAGCTCTGAGATACGGAAATGACCTTTCACTGCATGGTAGAAAATAGAACTGTGGTTACTGACCACTAGGCAGGGAGAGGCGGGTCCCGATCTCAGCCCCGGCTGCCACGCTACCTGAGGGTGCTATCGTCCACTCAGTGCCGACATCAACCTCACGTCGGGACGGGTTTGTCTGTAAGACGCATACCCTGTGAATTGTGTTTGCAGGGCCCGTTACCCAACACCTGCGGTCACTTCTGGGAGATGGTGTGGGAGCAGAAGAGCAGGGGTGTCGTCATGCTCAACAGAGTGATGGAGAAAGGATCGGTGAGTCCCAGTTGCCCGGTCTTCATGTCACTGCCTGCGCGGGTGCCCGTCCATAAGGGCGACGTTTGTCTGTTCATTTCCTCAGGTTCCTTTCTGTTTCTGTTAGAAAAATCCAAAGCAGCAGTACGTAATCACATGTTTATTGTAAAGAAGTCAGATAAACAGGTGAGTTTAAAGGAGAGTAAGGTCAAACGGCCCTTCCCCTGGTCTCTGCCCAACCCCGGAAGCCGGCCTCCCCAGGTGTGGTGTGTGAGTCCCACTTCCCTCTCTCCCGTGCTGCTCTGCTGGCCTCCTGGAGCGGTAGAACAGAGTTTCACTTTGAAAAGCAAGTTCCTGCTGTGTCTTGATCTTGCCTGCTTTCTCTGGTAAAGTGTCCCTTTGCACAGCCAAGTGGTGGGAGCAGCTGGACGCAGATTCAGCCCCGTCAGATCCGCAGACTCTGGGCCCCTGGCCACTCCTTTCACAGGGACAGTGTCTGCGTGCGCTTCCCTTCAGGATGTGTGGGCCTCTCTTCTGAGTACTTTGCAACATGAACCCGTTTGTTCAGGCCACCTCCTGCCTCTCCTCAGTCTCTTCTGCCCCCTGCATCCAGAGCGATCTTCCTAAACCAGGTCTCCCACACCTCTTGCCAGCTGAAACCTTTCTGGGGCTCCCACTGCTCCTATGGTATATGCCGTGTGACTGCTGGACCGGGTACAGCTGGGCCCTCGGTGGCCTGGGCCCCACTCCCTCCCTTCATCACCCGACTCCAGCCAGAACAGACTTGTATTTGATTTTAAAAACTTTTTTTTTTCTTTAAGTTTCTTGCCCCTTGTCTGGACTAATGACCCAAATTGCACTCACCCTCTCCCAGGCACACGTGGCTTCCCGCAGGTCCACGTGGCTGTGCTGACGTCCCCTCACGCCTGGGGGCACAGTGTGGTCTTCGCCGCAGAGCTTAGGTGCCCTGTCCTCCCCGATGCCCACTGCCAGCCGCGCGGGGCTCTGCACCCTCTGAGCCGGAGGACCCAGGGGAAGGGAGCCGAAGAGCGTGGGGACCAGCGGGAAGGGAGTCCAGGCCAGGCCGGCGCTGGCACCATGCTCGGGCTCAGCGGGGACGCCGCTCGCCTGCCTTCCAGAAGGACGCGAATGCTCCAGAGAAGCCTACCTCCGGAGAAGGGACCATCGTGGACCTCGGGAAAAGTACAAGTGCGAAGCAATAACACGTCAAAGGAACCTTGAGCGGTGAAAACCTGAAGGGCTAACACACTCGCCACACAGACTCGGCCCTGTCTCCCTACAAAGGACAGGGCTTGGCGACAGCAAACGGCCCTCTTAGGATAGTTCATGTTTAAAATCATATTTTTGCTTCTGCCTCCTTTTCTGGAAAGAAAGGATTCGTTTGCTCTACAGAAGCAGATAAAGTACTTACCTGAATGTTCATTTTACCTGAATGTTCAGCTGCTGCAGCAGTGTGTTTTGTCTGAGAAAAAAAAAAGTCTTCAGTGAAAATGGTTCTTTAATTTTCTCTGCAGTGGCTTGATCAGTAAAACACAAAGTTGCAAACGTGAAGTAAGCCCTCATCCGGCACCTTTCTTGTCAGCAACTTTGAATAAAGAAACAAAACATCAGGTTCCTGCCACAGGGGCGCTCTGCAAGGGAAAGCGAACTGTGGTGGCCGGCGGCGGGTGCTGAGCACAGAGGAGCGTCGGGGTCTCCCAGCCCTAGTGCTGCTGCCGGCCGGCCGGGTCACACTCTGCTGAGGGGCAGGGGACAGCCTGTGCCTTGGGGCATCGCTGGTCTCCCCCACCAGCCGCTGGGAGCGCCCTGCCCACGGCCAGAGCCTTTAGAAGCATCCCCAGATGCTGCCCAGTGCCCCCGGGGATGCAGACTTGCCCGCAGTGGCGACTCTGTCATTGTGTGGAGGGTTGAGCCTTTTAAATCAAGACTGACTGACTCAGAGCCCGTCAGAGAAGGTAGCATTTGCCTTTTGTTTGTTACTGAAAGTCCAGGTGAAACCTCTTCCCTGTCTGCACGTTGTTTGCTCCAGCTGCTGTGGCCACAGGACAGCAGGAAGGGTGTCCTCAGCAGGCCCTGCCACTGGCGGTCTCCCACCCAAGGCTGAGCACAAACAAACCACAGATCCACTGTAGGGTCCTTGCCCCTTGGACTGCTGTGCCGGCCGTTTAAAAAAAAAAAAAAGGGCTGTCACATGTAGTTTACTGTAGTCACGTGGCGTGGTCCCTGCTTTCCACTGTGCCTCCTTTTTACCCTCAGTCACTTGGACATGCAAATTGGCATGGAAGGCAGTGTATGGTTTATGGTTCTTAAACCTTCATTGGGATAAACATTTTAAATTCGGATCAGTGTTATCCGTTATTGCCCCCATCAGAGCTGACCGGGGGAAATTACAAGAAATTGCAGTGTCTTGTTTGCTCGACTGATCTAATCATACTTTCTCCACTGCAGCCGGTGGTTAAACCAGCTTGCAGAGCGTCTCCATGTGATGCACGTTTGTTTTCTGGTTTCTTCCACCAGATAGTGACCGATGGTCCCTCTCGTGTGTTTTGGAAGAGCTCCCTGTTGCCCTTCTGGGACCTGATACTTCCTGGAAGACAGTTGTGCAGAAAATGATTGTGTGTGTTAGACCAGGGTCGTCCTAGTGCCCAAAGTTCTCCTTCATTTCATGTAGAAATTGCATTTAGACATGATAAGCTAGTGTGCATATGTGTGCAGGGGCCAGGCGTGAATATTGTCCAGTCAGGGGGAGTAAGCCAGGCCATAGTCGACCAGAAGCGTCACCCGAATCTCTCTCCTGAAGTCCCTACTAGAGATGCTGTTTGATTTCAAGGGCTTTCAGCCTCAGGACCCTGGGTTGTGTATCACGGGTACTTTAGGCTTTGTCCGTCTCTCTCACACTCCACTTTTAGTTCTCCGTGTTCATCGTTCTTTCAGCCAGATCACCCATCAAAGAGTCACCTCAGATGACTTATGGACTTTTCTCAGCACGCCCTAGCTGTTCCAGAAGCAGCCGAGAACTCTCACACCACCGTGCTGGTGGTGGCAGCGTCTCTGGCAGGTGCCCGCTCTGGCCACGGCCCGTGGCTGTTGGCTGCCACTCAGGACGCACCTCCAGTTTAACTCGGCAGAGGACTGCTTTCCAACAAAATAATCTCCTTTTCCAGTCCCTGTGTGTCAGCTTAATAGGATCACAGGAAATAGTGATCTTGTGCCGCTTCTGTTCTGTTCTATGTGTTTACAGCAAAAAACTTCTACAGGAAGTGACACAGAGCAGGCTGGCATGTTGCTAGAGACGCCTGAGCTCTTTGAAGAACTCCTATTTTTAAATAAGTATTGGTTGATTGACACTCAGTGTGTGCCAAAATTCCTCAGCGATGAAGTTCCAGAGTCTTGGTCTTTATCCAGATAACAGAGATTTGTGAGGCTTTATATTCACCTTTGAAAGGGAGTGCTTGCTGTGTGGATGAGATTTAAAGGACTTGCCTCTCCTGCCCTTGAGACATGAAAACATGGGCCTTTCTCTGAGAGCAGCTGGCCGTTCTGCGTTTCTGCTGCTTGGCTTCGCGCTCTGTCTGCTCGCTGCCTTGAGTGCTGACTCCAGCACTCGTAGCTCTGGGCCTGCCAGGGTGGTTTCTTTGTTTCTGGTGTCTCAAGGCATGACATGGATCTGGTTATTTGAAGTGTAGGAATGAATGCCTCCGTTAAACGTCCTCTGGAGTCCTGCTCTCGCCTGCCTCGCGCTCTGTGGCTAAGCCTGTGGTCGTGATCGTGCCGTGCCCTCAGTGCTTCTGTGTCCTGAGTGGCAGGATCACTTCAGTGCTGACAGTTGGGCTCTGTTCCAGGGGTTCATTTTGGCAGCTGGGCTTCCCAGGTGGCACTAGTGGTAAAGAACCCGCCTGCCAGTACAGGAGACTTAAAAGGCGCAAGTTTGATCCCTAGGTCAGGAAGATCTCTGGAGGAGGGTATGGCAGCCCACTCCAGTATTCTTGCCTGGAGAATCCCCATGGACAGAGGAGCCTGGAGGGCTATGGTCCATAGGGTGGTAGAGTCTCGGACAAAACTGAAGCGACTTTAGCACGCACACGTGCACATCGGCGCACGCGCTCATCAGTGCAGGGAGATGGCATGGCTGAAACCGTCCAGAACTTCCATGTCCAGGCTCTTTAGAAAGCCTTACTGGCCTTCTGCTTGGGGACCATAAAGTTGGATGCTTCGGTGGCCTCACAATGTGGTGTTTCTTGATTTGTTTCCCTCCCTTTTTTCTGTGGCTTTGGTTTTCATTAAAGCAGGGTCAATGGGCATTTGTTGTTCTGTCTTCAGCCTCTTCAAGAGCCTCCTGGTTCCTCTGAGTCAGTGTGTGTTGAATTGTAAGTGTCTTGAACTTGTACTGTTTCCCAGAGAGCTGTTGACACACACTGATACTTCATTTGATGGAAGTCATACTGCCTCTGAGGGCCCCTTTCTGGGGATGTATCAGTTCTTCTGGCTTATGGACCTGGCAGCTTCTCCCCGTCTACCTGCCGGTTTTGTCCAGAAATGTGTGGTGTAGAAACTCGGCTCACACAGAGCATTGCCACTGAATTTGACCCAAATTTTCTTTCTTGACCTCTAAATGAAACCAAGTCTTTGAGAGTTTGCTTGCTTTAAGGAAAATGTTAATGAGCTACGTTTAAATCAAGACTATCAAGTAGTTCCTGGGATTTTTTAACTTGAACATCAAAAGGACTTTTCTGAACCGAACCAGACCAGAATAAAAGGGTGGGGTGGGGCAGGAGTGGTCCCCAGCCTTGGAGGACCCCTCTCAAGCCTTCCGGATCCTGGTTTGCGTTTGATTGCCGCTGCAAGGGGCTCCCCAGTGGCTCGGCAGTAAAAAATCCGCCTGCCGCGCAGGAGCTGCAAGAGACGTGGGTTCCATCCCGGGTCGGGAAGATCCCCTGCAGGAGGGCATAACACCCCACTCCAGCGTTCTTGCCTGGAGAATCCCATGGGCAGAGGAGCGTGGTGGGCTCCAGTCCATGGGGTCGCCAAAATTTGCAGACTTGACTGAAGTGTATCAGCATGCACAACCCCTCAAGCTTTTCAGTCTCATCTTGTTATCATCCAGTGCTGTGCCAAGGGCACCAGTCAGGTTTTTTATAATCTTGAAATGGCTGCATGAAGTCGTTCTGAGAGACAACCTTGTGTGCAGGCTGGCTCCTCTCGTGGGTGACGGAGGGGATGCGACGCCGGGAGCACTCCTCTCTGTGGGTCAGCAGGGCGGCTGCGCCTGGAGTGCTTGTCCTGTCTGCCCACCTCTCCCTGGCCTAGGTCTTCACAGGCCCCTCCCCATCTCCCTAGGAGGCAGGCAGGTTACATTCATGGCAGCTTCCAAGGTCAGAAAACCCTGGGTTTGGAGGTTATCATAAAGCTCATGGACAGTACTCCACACCTCCGTAGGAAGACAGTCCATTGCTCACAATAACTTGGTGCTATTTTCTGTCCTAGTTAAAATGTGCACAGTACTGGCCCCAGAAAGAAGAGAGAGAAATGGTCTTTGAAGACACAAATTTGAAATTGACATTGATCTCCGAAGACATTAAGTCCTATTACACAGTACGACAGCTGGAATTGGAAAACCTCACGGTGAGTGCGGCAGGCACCTGAGTGCTTGGAGCGGTCCTGTGGGCGGCCTCTGCTTGAGGTGGTATTTCAGTCGGCGGTGTTACTTAGCACCAGTGGTTTTCTGAGCTCTGAGCAAGATGCAGTTTTCACACCATGGCGAGCAGTGCCCACCTGCGTACCTCCCAGGTGACCAGCAGTGTCTGGGGGGACGAGTCTTAGTACCTCCCTTTCTACAGAACGAACTCTCAGCCCCAGCTAACACCAGTTCTTAGGGGAAAGGGTAGGTTCTTACCTCAGACCAACTGCAGAGGGTCTAACGTAATAGCCTCGGAGTTAACACCAGCAGGGCATGCGGGCCTTTCTCGACCACAGTCTCTCTAGTCTGCAGTGAGGGAAGAAAGGCCCGGTTTGTGGTCAGTGTAAAGTTTCTAGGTGAAGTCCTGGGCTTGTGGCGGGGAGTTTATAATACCAGCTGCCGGCTATTGTTAAATGATGGCCTTGGACCACCTCTCAGCACTGCTGGAAGCAGCCCCGCTGACGACCCGGCCTTGGGGAGGCTGCAGAGCTGGCCCGCGCCCCACCCCCCGGGAGACCCCGCTGGTGACGGAGGCCGTGGAGGGGAGCCCAGGGCAGCTCCAGGGGCCCCCTCAGACGCGGGCACCCGGGCCTTGTGCAGTCCCACGGCCCACCTCCTCAAACTGTCTGACCCTGGGCCGAGGGCACCGTGCCTCCCCGCATGTCAGTCTGCCCCTAGCCCGGGCTTTTGGAAGGCTTCCCACAGCTGTCTGTGTGCGGTGAGCGCAGCATAGGCCCAGAGCTCGCCGTGAGGGGCTCTCAGGCTCCGGAGGGGCCGTGGGCGGGCTGACAGGCAGGGCTGCTCCGGCCTTATCTTCACTCGCAGCTTAGCTTTCGACTTCTGCTCTGTGGTCGCCATGACTCCTGGAGTGGGTTCATAGTGGGAGTAAGATGGAGAACTTAGTGCAGGTGCCTGGGAGCAGAGAAGAGGTGAAAACTGCGAGGCTCTGGGGGAAGGCAGCCGTGCCGCACGCAGGCTCCCAGGTTGACTGATGGAGGGGCTGATATGGACGGTTTTCAGGAATAATCTTGGTGGAGGGTTGGAATGGGCCTGGAGGATTATGTGGTAGACTTTTTTTTTTAATGCTTTTGAGCACTTGCGAGCCTGGCATTAACAAGACTCTTGAGAAAATGTCTTTTGTTCGTTGAAGTAAACGGTTGGGCCCGAGCAGAAGAGGCGCGTGCTGTCTGGGTGGCAGAGAGGTTTGGAGAAGATCTGTTTGCTCTAACAGAATGTGATTCTGGAAAAAAAAATCTGTTCTCAGACTTGTGGATCTTTTCGAGCATACGTCTGGAATGAATTCCGTGAGAAAGAGGTGGGCAGGCATGAGGCAGGGAGTAAACAGAGATAACCCACACCGTTTTAAGAATTTAAAGAAGGAACTTGCTTCTGGCCTGCTTTCTTATTCCATTTTTTAAAGTCTGTTTTTAAGTGCTTTTCTTACCCCTCCCCCCCAAAAGGAAGACACATTTCCTTTAAACTATTGAAGTACGTAAGGAGGTCATTTTCTAGGGAGGAAGGCATGGAGTTGTTTGTGTGGTTCTTGAAATTATCCTGATGTGATCAGCAGATTGGTTCCAGTTCTGTAGGAAGATACCAGCGTGTGTCACGGCTGGTGCAGGGTGATGCGTGTGTGTTCTCTGCAGGTGTCGGGTCCTTGCTGTTTGTTGTGGGTCCTTTCCCACGTTTCCATCACCCTCAGGTCGGGGAGGGTGGTTGTACCGGAGCTGTGAGCTCTGGGAGGGCAGGGCCAAGTCGCTCCCTCGTGGTACCTGGCGCCCAGGAGGGACGTGGCGGACATCTGCCAAGTGAGGGGAGAGGCACTGTCGGTCACCAGGTCTCTGGCCCAGTGTTCCCCATCAGCTGCTCTTCAGGTGACCTGGGTGCCGGTGTGGCCTTTGGCTCCGCACCGCTGGTGGGGTTCCTGTCTCAGGCCTTACTCACCCCGTGACTGGCTCCCATGACTGTGGGCTCTTAGCTAAAGTGCTCTTCTCAGCAAGAACCGCAGTTTGACTGTCCTGTTGCCCCTGGCAGCCCGCTGTCGGCCCTGGGAGTGGAGTCTCAGAGGAGCAGAGCTGGAAACAGCCCCAAAGGCCGTCCTTACGGTTCCCCTGGGAGCTGATGGGGCCACGAGGAGACACAGTTGGGGACAAGTGTCAGGGTCCACCTTCAAGGGTCCCTACTGCAGGCTGTGAACGTGGGCTCTGGAGTCAGGCAATTCAGATGGAAACTTCTGCCCCCCTACCTAGCGGAGGGGTGCCTGCCAAGCCTCAGTCTTCTAGTCTGGAACATGGGAGTAACTGGCCTAGTGGGGCTGTGGGGAGAGCTCTGGGAGCCAGGCGCCCAGCCCGGGAACGCGTAGACGCTCACCGGTAGGGCTGGGCCAGCTGGTCTTATCGGCACCCCTCCTCGCTGACCATCTGTTCATTGAGGACTGAGTTACGCGGGGCATCCTCCAGTCTTTGGGGACCAAGTCAGTAACTTTTTTTTGTAAAATGACAGTCCTCTGAGATGTCCAGGTCGTCTTGTAAAGCCCCGAGTTCCCCAGAGCTGGTGCCCCACAGTGCGGTTACATTTCCACTCTTTGATGTCAAACCCGAGGCACTGATGCCAAGACTGCCGTGGGCGGCAGCGCAGCACCACTGTGGCTTATGGAGAGAAGTCAGTTGGGCCTTTGAAGACGGCAGAAGGGGGCGGGGCATCGAGACGAGGGCTTCTGGGGGCGGAAGTGTTACAGCTGAAGCCCGGGGCTCAGGGCTTGTCCGCCGGGTCCGTGGTCCCGAGGAGAGAATCTGGGAACGAAGGCTCCTCGTGGAGGCAGGCGGGTCAAAAGGCACTTCATGCTTACTTGAAGTTAGTGGTTCTCACACAGGTGATTCTTTGAGAGTCGTCAAGTGCATATTTCTCTTTCAGTCTCGAGAAACCCGGGAGATCTTGCATTTCCACTACACCACGTGGCCTGACTTCGGAGTCCCGGAATCGCCCGCCTCGTTTCTGAACTTTCTCTTCAAAGTCCGCGAGTCGGGCTCACTCAGCCGTGAGCACGGCCCAGTCGTGGTTCACTGCAGCGCCGGCATCGGCAGGTCGGGCACCTTCTGCCTGGCTGACACCTGCCTCTTGCTGGTAAGACGGCCCTCAAGACCGCAGGAAGCAGAGGGAGCATGCAGTGACCTCCAGGCTGGCCTGGCCGCGACCCTCTGTCACTGTCTGCGGTCAGCTAGCTTTGGTCTTGACTTTCTAGCAGCTTCCCTCCCATCAAGGGAGCTTTACCCTGAACAGCTTCATTTGGAGCAGTGCTCTTAATTTTGATGTGGAAGCCAGAGAATCCCCTTCCCTCACACTTTTCCCTCTCACGCTCCCCCAGGACGTGTACAGTCGTGTTGTACCTGACACCCGACTCCATTCAGCTGTGTCTCCTCTCTGGCTTTCAGATGGACAAAAGGAAAGACCCTTCTTCTGTTGATATCAAGAAAGTTCTGTTAGAAATGCGGAAATTTCGGATGGGACTGATCCAGACCGCAGACCAGCTCCGCTTTTCCTACCTGGCTGTGATCGAGGGCGCCAAGTTCATCATGGGAGACTCTTCAGTGCAGGTCAGCATTCCTTCTGCTTTAATCTCTTGTGTGTTGGTTTTAAACTTTTGCCTCTAAAGAAGGAGGCTGCTCACTGTCAAAGTTGAAATAGTGTCAGGGGAAATAGCTAGACTTCATGTTTAAGTCTGTTTAGCTAGAAAGTTGTGGAAGTTGTCACCATGTTCCAGTGTCTTTGAAGTGCTCACATAGAGAGTGCTAATAGGGAGAATAGACTCTATTTTCCAAAGATCTCGTCTTCCAAGGACATGGCTGGAGACCCGAGAAGCTGAAAGGCCCCTCACTGCTCCTCACTTGAAAGGGAGCAGATGTCCTGACGAATCACCAAATGTGAAGTCTTCTTGCTGCTTTTTCAAGGAGCAATGGAAAGAGCTCTCCCACGAGGATCTGGAGCCCCCACCGGAGCACGTCCCCCCACCGCCCCGGCCCCCCAAGCGAGTCCTGGAGCCACACAACGGGAAGTGCAAGGAGTTCTTCCCGAACCATCAGTGGGGCAAGGATGACATCGAGGAGGAGGGTAGAGAAGACGGCCCCATCAAGGACGCAACCAGAACCCCTTTAAACGCCCCCTGCAGCCTGGAAAGGTAAAGTTAGAGGGTCCTGGCCTCCTGGGGGGCGGGGGGCAGCCTCCTCTTGGCAACCGGTGCTTCTGTGTCCTTGGGGAGACTGGGCCCCTGGACCAGCCCTGTGCCTCCGCTGGTTGGCAGAGCCTCTGGACTGAGCTCCAGGTTGGCCCGGGAAAGGGGCTGGCTTTAGCGGGGGTCTAGCACCACCTGGCGGTGCTTGTCGGAACCAGGGCTCTGGTGCGACAGAGACAGGTCTTCAGCCCAGTGTTGACAGCGACAGAAAACAAAAGCAAGGCTTCGGGCCGGTCGGTCGTGAAGCTAAATCCCAGGCTTGACCATGCACCTTCAGCCCCCAGAAGTTAACCTTTTCGGGTAGCTTTGATTGTCGCTTTGCTTCCTTACAGTTTGACAGATTACTGAGCACCTACTGATGCATGTGAGAACTGAGATAATTAGACTTCGGCCCCTGGTGGGTGTTGTGTACCATCTTGTTGGGAAGGGAACAGTAGGTTGTGGTGGGGGCCCATGGACAGGGCTGTGATGGAGGCGCACGCTGAGGTGGTCAGCCTTAGAGAAGAGCCACCTGGCTTTTCCTGGGAGGTCAGGGAGGGCTGCCTGCAGGAGGTGGCATTGTGCAGCTTGAAGGATGGACAGGAATCAGCCTGAGCCCATGGAAACGGTACCCTCGGTGCCTCCTGTTTTGGAGGGCAGCTGAAGATGAGCGCCGTCTCTGACCTCATGTTTGTCTGCACCTTGAGATTCAGCCTGCAGCAGCTCTCAGCAGGCGTGTGGAGTGCTGGGGTGGTAGGCAGAAGTGTTCATAGTGGCATCACCTGTGATGGTGAAAAACTAGAGGTGGGTTGATTCTGTATCCAGGGAGTGTATCAGGCGGGCTTTCTCCCTGTGCTGAATATTCTGTAGCTTTTGAAAGACAGGATCAGAGTTATTCTTGTGGCCAGACTTGGGAACATCGTGTGTGAGAGAGCAGGTTGTCCATGGTGTGTGCCCCGCCAGGTCCTCCAGCTAAACTCACCATCTAGACCTTCCCTGGTTACTTTGCTGAATGCTGGCTTCCACATCTGAGTCCTGACCCATGAGCCTACTCCCAGGGCCTTTCGTGCACCTCTGGTTCTGGGGCTCTAGAGACACTTGTCCAGTGGAGCCTCCCAGAGCAGATCCTGAGTGCGGGGAGCTGTGCCTGGCTTCCCGGGCCTCCGCTCACGTTCGAGGGTGGACCGGTGTGCTTCCCCTGACGGCTCATGGCAGGCCACGGGCGAGTCAGGAGCCAGCACGAGGCTTGTGTCACGTCTGTGTTGCGTGTCCTGTTTCTTTGTTCACGAAGACAGTGGAGAGAGGTGCCCTCCACATTCCGTGGGTGAAGGTGAGGAGCAGGGAAGTGTGGACCTGGGAGCTGAAAGCCAGAGAGTGCCAGGAGAACGTGGAGTGGGCCGAGATCCTGAGCGTCTCTGCACCGGGGGGAGCCCACATGTACCCAGGCCTCACCCCGTCCACGGGCCTCCCCTGTCTCCCGGGGCGGTGGCTCTCCGGACCCCTGCCCTGGCGCTGCAGCCGGGCCCTGGGAAGGAGGTGGTGACGGGCAGGCTTCCGGCCAGTGTCAGCGTCGCCAGGCTGTTTGCAGGGGGCTCCTTTTCCCTACAATTCGTCCCATGATAATTGTGTCCTTGCCATTGTCTCCTCGGGTGAGTAACCCTTCTCTGCCCCCTCACTCCTTAGCGCGAGTCAAGACACTGAAGTCCGAAGGCGGGTCGTGGGCGCAGACCCTGCGCAGGGGGAGCCGTCACCGCCGGCAGAGGAGCGAGACCAGCCGCTGAGCCACTGGAAGCCCCTCCTGGTCAACGTGTGTGTGGCCACAGTCCTCACGGCCGGCGCGTACCTCTGCTACAGGGTCTGTTTCCACTGACGGACGTGCTGGCCGGACCGCACACAGAAAGCCTGGCCTTCGCCCGGCGTGGTGCTCAGTGCCGGGGAAGCTCTGAGCCCGTCCCGGAGGAAGCAGGTCAAAGGTTTTCAGAGTCTGGAACTGTGAAGGGCTAACGAGAGAGGACTGGGGTTGATGCACTGGGGTCTGGAGGCGCTTGGTCCCCGGAGTAAAAGAGTCTAATCTCAGGGCCTTAACCTATTCAGGAGTAAGTAGAGGAAATGCCAAATACGTCTCTCTCTCTTTTTTTTCCTTTTTTTTGTTCATTTGTTTTTGGGGAAAAAAAATAGAATTACAACACATTGTTGTTTTTAACCTTTATAAAAAACAGCTTTTTGTTATTTCTGGGGAGGGGGGTGGAGAAAAGACTAGGCACTTATGAACCTTTCTTGTACCCTTAGGTGGTGTAACCAGATACACAGTTTTTATTTGATTTCCCAGGGAAAGACTCCCACACGTGTACGAATGTAAACTCCTTTGGAGAAGAGGATTGAGGGGCGGACCCCGTCTGCTAGGGCACATCCCCTGCTGCGGGCTTCCCCGCTGGGAGGAGGAGAGCAGTGAAGGCCATCTCTAGAAAACAGAGCCTGGCTTCTGCTTCTGCTCAGGGCGTCCCGCTGTGTCCTTCCGTCCATTGCCCCACAGAGCCCTCCCCTCGCAGCCAGCCTGCCCGCCTCGCTCCATCCCCATTCAGGGCCCCACAGGGCGGCTGCTGGCCCTTCACCCAGGCCTTGAGACCCGGACGGAGCAGGTTCCGCTCAGCTCGGAATAGGAATGCTGTCTCGGTAGAAATACCCCCATTGGAACGTGCCGCTGTTCAAGTTAGGGAGAAGATCAAGGAGGAGTCTCAAACCACCGGTCACAGAAATCACCTCCCAAGGTGATTTGTTCTTCAATGGTTTTTCACATTTTACCTCTTTTCTAAGCAACTGTCTTTGAGTGCATCCGGTGGTTTAGCAGCACACAAACAATTTTTTTTTTTGGAGATGATTTTTGGGAAGGCAGAGCTCTTGTGAAAAATAAAACTTTTTGCAGGAGGCGGGGGTGGCCAGGGTGTGCATGGGTCTGCAGCTCTGCAGCGCTGGGCTTGTCTGGAAATGCTTGGCTTCTTTCCAGTCCTGTTCAACAGCGACACACAGCCTGACCCAGTGCCACCCTTGTCTGCCTGGCGGGCAGCTGCCGTGGGTGAGGGCTGCGGGCAGGGCCGCCAGCCGCCCGCAAGCCCCGGCTCTGCACTGAAGCGGCCCTCCCAGGCGCTTGGCCTCGGCTCCGCCCTCTTCCCTGCCTCCCCCTCCCCTGCTCGGAGGACCAGACCCACCGCCCAGTTCTGAGGAGGGCACAGGACGGCGCTGTGCCCGTGGCACGGGTCAGGGTGGCCTGGGTGGGCGGCGGGGCGAGCCTCATGCGGGGGCCCTCAGCAGGCGGCACGCAGAGTCCTCCCTGCCGCCCTCCTCGGAGACCGCCCGTCGTGAGCCGCTCTCCACTCCATATTTATTTTTCCATTGTTTCCCCCAAAGGCATCCACAGTGCACTAGCATCTTCTTAAACCAATAACATGTTCAAGTTTTTGATGTCAGCCTTGGACCAAGGGCTTTATCCAAACGTACAGCAGTAAACCCTCAGGTCGGGCTGGGACGGGAGGACTCGACCGTGAGCCTCCGGCGCGGTAGGAGGATGGCTGGGTGCTGTTGCCACGTCACGATGCCGCAGGGAGCTCGAGAAGTCTGCGTGTGTTCACAGAACAAGGGAATGATACATAGTGGACACTTGGCTATTTAAGACATGGTGTGAGGTTCCTTTGTCCCGGGTCCTCCCCTCCCCAGTTACCTGCTCAACCTTGATCTCAGCCCCCACTCTCCCTGTGTGTATTAAGATGCATGTCCTGTCTTCCTGCGTCCCCATCAGATACAATGTGCTTGGAACACTTAGCGCTCTGCTGACTCACGTGCCCCATGTACAAGTCCAGTTTCCCTTTGCACGGTCTGATCGTTACATGGCTGTGGTTCCTAAGACTGTTACTGAAATAGTTGCCATTCAGTAGTGGAATGATGTTTTCCAGTAACAGATAGTTGCCTAACTCCTGGCACGACACTCTGGTGACTTCCTCGTGAGGCCCAGCCTGTCCTGCTCCAGCTGGGTCCACTGCAGCTCAGACATTCCAAGGGTATGGGAAGCCACAGTCACACCTGCACTCTGGATACGTAGACAGCAGGGTCCTCCCACCCACATACACACGCACCTTTGGGATAGCCGCTACTGCTCCCGAGTTCACACTCGCCTTGAGCGGACCGTGACTTGGAACCAAGGCAACTGTTGGAAACCGCTCTTCCTGAAACAGCGTGGATGACGGTCCCTTCAGGTCAGCCTGTGGCCCTCTAGGTCCGGGGCCTTGCTGCACGAGCTGTCTGCCCCACCCCAAACCCTGGGGACTGATGGTGCTCAGGACTCTGCCTGCGTGGGGGGACCCTATGACCTCCACATTCAGTGGCTTTTTTTTACCAAGAATAAAAAAAAGGCAGCTGTGATTCACAAGCTGCTCTTCTGCCAGCATTTTCACATTTTTGCCTTTCACGTGTTAGAAGCTCTGCGAGGAGTTGCTATGGGGGAGCGTCTGAGGCGCTGCCCGCAGGCCTCGTAAGGTGCAGATGAGGCTGGGGCCAGGCTGCAAGCGTGTTTGAGCTGGGCTTGTCCGTCTGTTCTGTTAGGTCCTGTGTGTGTCTGCAGTAGTTTGGGTGTGTATATATAGTAGCATTTCAAAGTGGATCTACTGGTTTAACCTCCTGTCCTTGGAAAACAGACGGCTCTGCGTCTTGTCACACGTATGTTAGAGAAGTAGTGAGCTGCTCTGCTATATGCCTTAAGCCAATATTTACTCATCAGGTCATTATTTTTTACAATGGCCATAGAATAAACCATTTTTACAAAAATAGAAACAAAAAAAGCCAGGTGTTTTGGTATAATACCTTTCCAGGTGTGTGTATACGTGGATGCATGATGGGGGGGTGGGGGGCATCTCAGGGTCTTCTGTGACCTCACAGAACTGTCAAACTGTACAGTTTTCCAACTTGCCATATAAATGATGGTTTGCATTTTAGTTGCAACAATAAAAATCTTTTTTTCTAAAGAACATGGATTGGGATGCTTCCCATTTCTTCGCTTAAGGGGCCTAAACGAGGCTGGCAGCTCGTGTTTCTATCCATCCCTGCTGATGTGAAGCAGATGCTGTTGTTCGGGAGGGGTTACAGCTTTTCCATGTCTGAGGATTACGACCGCCTCCTGGGGTCGTGGTTGCCTTTGGTCTGCGAGAACTTTACCCACCTGGTGCGTTTACTCGGAGCTTCAGGGCCTCTTATTCTTACCGCTCAGTAACGGTAACGAAACTCACCACTTCAGTGTATTAGGGCCCTTGGATAACTTAATGAGTTTATACAAGTTGTTTGTGAAGAACTGCTCAAACCTCATGAACGTGTCCCCTTGCCAGCTGCCTTTAGGACTCAGGGTGGCCACCTCAGCCCCTTTCCCAAGTCACATTTGATGTAGAACTGATGGAGCTGTAACAGTGAGTGGATTCATGTAGTGTAGTCTGAAATCAAATGGGAATCTCCCCTAAGGTGATTTTTTTTTTTTACTTCTTATTCTGGAATAATTTCAGATTAGCAAAATGTTGAGGAAATAGTACAGAGAATTCCCCTGCATCTCTTAATGCTTTATGGTCGTTTCAAAGCTGGCTGCTGAGTAACCTGTGGATGCTGTGGCCTCCCAGTGAGGTCTGTGGAACCCAGAAAGGAAGACAGCCTGTGGTCACACGGTCCCCGAGTGCCCAGCAAGGACAGTGGGGACCCAGAAGGTGGTACCATACCTGCCGTCACTGTCATCTCAGATACAAAAAAAAAGCAGCCAAACTTTGATGAGGAGGTGGAATGCCAGTGTGAGAAACAATATATTTGTAACCTTGAGCAGAAATTAGAGCGCAGGGCCAGAGCAGGTGGCCTCCTGGTGTCTAAGAAGAGAGGACTCAGGGAGCCTGGGGAGAATCAAGAGGCGCCCTGGCCCAAGGCCACCCTCCACTGCCCCTGCAACTATGGCAGAAGCCACTTCACAGAATGGCACGTTGGACAGGGCCCTGGGGACTGGGGCAGGGCTGAGCTTGGCTTCTTGCTTCAGGATGTTTGGGAAAACCACCACTGCCTTCCATGTGTCTCAGGTAGAGTGAAACACCAATAAAAAGTTATCTTTATTGAAATTTCAGAAAACGTATCGGCAAGGCAAATAAATACTGAATTAAACCGAAAAGCACAAAATATATACATGAAATATAAATGAGCATGTTTAAATTACAGAGCTTTCCGATTCCACTGTGGATTCCACATCCAGAACCCAGGATGCCTCTGTATTAACCCAGAAACATCCCAGGACACTCTGGGGTTTTCTTAAGATTTAAATAGGAAACTAATTTTCTTCCTTTAAACATGGTGTTCAGTGAAATCTTTCTTCAGACCACCGCATGGCCTCTGAAGCTGTTTGTTTAATAAGCCCCACGTGGACTTGCTTCAAAATTCCCTGTGATTTGTGCTTCATCGTGCTTAGTCGCTCAGTCGTCAGACTCTTGTGCAACCCCATGGATGGCAGCCCGCCAGGCTCCTCTTGTCCATGGACTTCTCCAGGCAAGAACACTGGAGTGGGGTTGCCATTTCCTCCTCCTGGGGATCTTCCCGACCCAGGGGTCGAACCCGAGTCTCCTGCAGTGCAGGCGGATTCATTACCCACGAGCCCTCAGGGAAGCGCCTCTGTTCTGACTGGTGAAGGTCAGAGGGCACTCGGACTTCTCGGCTGGGGCCCCGTCCTCGTTTCCTGGTGTCGGGGAACCACAGTGAGATCAAGGTCCGTGGTCGGCAGGCCGCCGCCGGCTCCGTGGGCATCCGGGCTGCGTGTCGGGTGAAGAGGACGGTGGAGACCCCGGCTGGGCCCTCCTGCGTGGCCCCCGGCCCGCTCCCACGGCGACAGCCTGTGCTGTGGCCAGGCCCGACCCGCGTCGCCGCCTCGGCAGGGTCAGCCGCCCATTCGCCGCCTCGGTCCCAGGCTTGAGGGAACCAGATTGCGCCCAGCCGGCTGCCCTGCCAACTCCCAGCCTTGGCCTCCCCGTAGCAGGACCGGCGGGCCCTGACCCGGCTCTGCAGCCTGGGGGTCAGGCCGCTGCTCAAAGCCAAAGGCGGACCGGAGTGCGGCCCTCAAAGTGCGGTGCTTGCTCTGCCCCGGGGCTTCATAACTGGCCGGGACGGTCAGGAAGCAGCTTGGCCAGCTGACGCTTCTTGGGGAGCACTCAGCCTGCCCCCCACTGCTGCACCCCCCCCCAAAATCCTGTGTTGGGGCCAGGCACAGCACAGACAGGGACGCCAGATTTGAGCCCGTCAGCTGAGGCTTTTTAAAAGATTGTGATTTCAACGTCTGCCTCCTGGCCAAAGGCCTCTTCTCTCTGTTCTGAGCAGAGCCTGTCCATCTTCTCAAAAGCCAAGCGGCCTTTCTCCCCTGAAATATCAAGGCCATCTGTCAGTGGACTGTCCCCCCGCCTCGCTCTCGTCTGCCCTGGGGAGCCACGGTGGCCTCCAGGGCCGCTGGAAAGGCTGGGGATCAGGGAGCCCGGGGGCTGGCTCATGTGGACCCCTGTGTCCGCACAGTCTGCCGATCCTTAGTCCCGCCTTCCGTCTGGCTTTCATCCCCACGGGCCGTAAACGGGGCAGGTTATGAGGTTAACAGAGTGCATCCTGCCACCTCAACCTTATAGGAAACCTGCCCTGGCCAGGCGCAGTGAAGCGGGTCACTGGTGGTGCCCGTGTGCGGGTTTGCGTCTCGGGGAGCTGACCGTGGCCTCCCCAGCACAGCCTCTCCATGGACCCCGGCACCCCCAGCCCCCGCCCGCACTCGGGAGCATGGAATGCTGGATCTCACCAAAAGACAGCGTGGTTTCCCGGGCAGCCGCGCGCACAGCCTCCACGTCAGACCAGCACAGGCTGGCGAGCTGATCGATGCTTTCCTCGCCCTGTTGGAGGTTGGGGGAAGTGGGCCATTTTAAGGAACAGATGTCCGCTTTCATAAAACCCTGCACACCCAGCCCTAGCATGGTCTCTGCGACCTCAGCCCCTTCCTTCTCCAAAGGCTCCCATGCTTCTCATGAGGCCTCAGTTCAGTTCAGTCGCTCAGTCGTGTCCGACTCTTTGCGACCTCATGAACTGCAGCACACGAGGCCTCCCTGTCCATCACCAACTCCCGGAGTTTGCCCATGTCCATTGAGTCAGTGATGCCATCCAACCATGAGGCCTCAGGTTCACTGAAGTGCCTGGTGATTCACGGGATAAGAATCCACCTGTCAGTGCAGAGGACATGGGTTCAACTCCTGGTCCAGGAGGATCCCACATGCTGCAGGCCAACTAAGCCCAGTTGCTGTGACCACTGAGCCAGCGTGCTGTGACCACTGAAGCCTGTGCGCCTAGAGCCTTTCCTCCACAAGAAGAGACGCCCCTACAATGAGAAGCCGCGCTCTGCACAAAGAGGAGCCTGCGCTTGTCACAACTAGGGAAAGCCCGGGCACAGCCACAGACCAGGGCAACCGAAAATACGTATTTTCTAAAATTTATATTTTCTGGCCCTGGGATAACACTGAACACTGAATCTAGCCTAAGGAAGTAATCCAGAACTCCATATAAATTTTAAGAGCTTTATGCAGGGAGGCATAACTTTGGGGGAATTCCCTGGTGGATCAGTGGTCAGGGCTCCACCCTTCCACTTCAGGGGGCCCTGGTTCGAACCCTGGTTAGGGAACTAAAATCCCGCGTGCCTCAAGGTGTGGCAAAAAAAAAAAAAAGGATGAGCAACTTTAGCATTTCTGCATTTTACACCTTTTTTTGGTTTATTTTTGGCTGTGTTGGGTTTCATTGCTGCCCGGGCTTTTCTCCAGTGGCAGTGAGCTGGGCTGCTCGCTGTAGTGACTTGCAGAGTCTGGGCTTCCGTAGACGTGGGACGTGGCCTCGGTGGTGGTGGTTCCAGGGCTCTCGAGCACAGCCTCAATAGTTGCGGCGCACAGAGTTACTTGCTCGGAGGTATGTGGGATCTGCCCGGACCAGGGATCAAGCCCCGTGTCCTCTGCATTAGCAGGTGGATTCTTTGCTCCTGTGCCACCAGAGAAGCGCAATGCTGTTTTTCTACAATGAGCTTATCGTGCTTTTAGAAAATTTTTAATTGAGGCTATTAAATCATATAATCCAAGAGCACAAAAGTGAGCCTCTTGGGGGCACCTGCTTGTTCACACAGAGCCGGAGCAAATGAGCACAAGGCCACTGCCGAGTGGCCTCTGCCCACGGCGCGTCTGCTGGCGGAGCGGACGGCCGTCTCTCTGCAGCCAGCTCTTTGCGGTGCTTTTTCACTGGCAGCGATTTTTTTTTTTGGCCCCAGTGGAATCATTTCGAAATGCACTAACTTCAGCGTTAATCACAACCAGGCTTCTCTTCATCGCCAGCAAGGGCAGGTTAGACTCACCCGGAGATGTCTTAGCGCCACGCACGCAGCTTGCTGGAGTTTTGCATCATTTTCAGTCAGGGCATTGGTGTAGAAGAGCAAGGCCTAGGAAATAAGGTGGACGGCGGGCTGGAGAGAGCAAAACCCACAGTACTACCCACCGCCTGTCTTCCAGTATGCTGGAAGTACACAGCATGTGTATATGTATATGCCTGTGTACACAGCATAGTTGTAGTAGTGGTAGGCCGTGGTACTACATGCCCCGTGCGTACCAGCTCTGGTTTATCGAAAGCACTGGTCTCAGGACTTCCCTGGGGGTCCAGTGGCTAAGACTCCGCTCCCAATGCAGGGAGCCTGGGTTCCATACCCATCAGGGAACTGGATGCCACATGCCACAGCTAAGACCCAGTGCAGCCAAAAAAAAATATTTTTTTGAAAACTCATCTAACGTTTACAAAATGTATTCTGAAACTACCATCTTAGGTAAAACGCTACATCAGAGAGATTCGCTGTCCATGGGGGACAGCAAAAGAGCTAAACACAGAGGGAGGTTTGGTGAGGCCGCTGGAAGGAAAAGCATCTCTTCATCACCCTTTCCGGTCACAGCTCTGACCCCGCCCCATCGGTCACATGACCATGGCCATGTCCGTCCAGCTGGAAAATAAAGCTGGTGCTTCCTCTGCAATATTGCTTTAGGGGCTCACAGGAAGCAGGCGGTGGGGGTGGGGGGGTTGGGGACGTGCCTGGCACATGGGTGCGCCCGAGACTATGGTAAGGCCCCAGTATTGCCCTTCTCCGACCCCAGCAGGCTGGTCCCCTAAATCTAGAATAGTCACAGGGCCAGGAACCTGGCGCAGAAAGGCGCCAGGAACCTGGAACCAAAAAGGTGGAGGAGTCCCGTCTCGGTTTTTCAAGTGAACCAAACACAACGAACCAGCCAGCCACACGTGTTAGACAAAAGTAAATGAGGGTGACTGTCCAAATTCTGAAAAAGGAACATCGTACACGCAGGTGACATCTCAGCGACTGAACAGATGACGTGGCTGTACAAACACTGTGCTGAGTGAGCCGGTGCTCGTGGGGCACGCGGTCACGACAGCTTGGCAACCCCGGCTCTGCCCCCGGGGCTGGTGCCGCCGACGGCGAGGACAGCCACGCGCGAGGCTGTGGTCACGTTCCGAGGAGCATCTCGCGAACGCAGCCCCCCATCACCCCCCTTTGTCTTCCTCCGAGATGAAGCCCGCCTGCCCCTGGCTCACACGCCCGCAGAAGCCGCCGCCTGCCACACGCACCTTTTCCCGAAAGCTCTTGTTTCTGGCCGCACCGGCCAGGCGGGCGCTGGCCGCTCTGCACGCCCGGGGGGGTCCGTCCAGCTGGAGCAGCGCCCAGGCCCTCAGCGTCTGCGGCAGGGGCTGGAGCTGGCCCAGCCGCTTCCCCTGCAGCTTCCTGACTGTCCTGGCTTGGGGCCCACACTGCAGCTCCTCCAAGAGCGTTACTGGAAGAGACAGAAGAGACGCCCGGGTCCCCTCTGACTCTGGTTGAGCCGGGCGGCCGCAGGCTGATCATCAGCCGTGGAGGAGCAAATCCCAGGACGCATCGGTGTGCTCACCGAGGCCCCGCCCACAGGGGCCTCCTGGAATCTCCAGGAAGGCGTTCTGGCTAGGGGTCAGATACACCCTGAAGACGAAGCGACGCCAGCCCCACTTCAGGGACTCGGGCCAGCCCAGCGCACACTCCTGTCCACTTCCGACCTCGGCCCTGTGCTTTGTACAACCTCCTGCCCTTGGCGCTCATTTCTACGTGGGCTGAACAGGGAATCTAATTAACCCAGTTCTCAAAAGAACAGCTGGAGGGGAAAGGGATTCTGAAAAACCGGCTTCACAGAGCCGAGACAGAGAGCTCTGTGAAGGGCTGGCCCCTGTCGTTACCATGTTGCCTGCGGTGCCCGCCGCCCCAGCCCCTACCTTCTTTGGTGAGCTGGGCAAAGTGCTTCTCCAGGTCGGAGACGCTCTGCCTCCGCAGGTAGCTGTGAAACTGGAACCAGGTGACGGTCTGTTCCTCGGGGAGCCCGGCTGCAGGTAGCAGCCCGCTGCAGCTGACCACCTGCTCCAGGAGCCCGCGACAGGCTGGGGACACACAGGCCGAGTGGGAAAGACGCCCCAGCGCCCCGGCCGGCTCAGTCTGGAGGCTCCATGACGGCCTGGATGGGATCCCTGGCGCACCCCCCATTCCCACGAGGGGGACACCCCAGCTGAGGCCCCCGAGCCTGAGCTAGGGGTCCCGCAGGGCATCTATGCACCCTGGGCCCCACCAGCCCCTTGGTCTGAGTCCCAGAGGCAGGCAGGTGGTTAGAACCACGTAGGGTCCAGAGCCACTGCCTGGCATGTGCCTGCCACCCTTCCGTGGACAACACAGAAGGATGCTCCAGCTCTGCGTCCCGGGGAAGAGTCCAGCCAAGACGCATGATGCTGCTGTCGGGCAGACAGGGTCCTGCCTACCGTCCCCAGGGGCCCTTCTCTAAGGTTCTGGTGGAAGCTATGCAATCAGCCGGTCCCCAGAAGCTGCACCAGCCCACAGATGCAGGCCGCTCCTGGGGTTCACGGACTCCGCCCTCCTCTCCCCGGGAAGAGGAGATGCTCTGTGGTCAGGTGAGCGACACCTCCCTTCGATGCCACGCGGGCAACTGCAGCAGGGGCGGGAACGGCAGGGGCAGAAGGGAGGCCTGCGGTGGTGATGCTCCAGGCCCTGGGAGCTCCACACAGTGTTTCCCGGGGGGCATGGGGAGGGGTGGGGGAGGGGAGGGGCTACCTATCTCTAGCTGTCCCGGGTATTTCCCTCTGACTCTGTGCAGGAACGTCTTCTTGAGCTGGTCCAGCAGCGTCATCCCCGGGCAGGACAGGGCGGCGCCGGGCCCCATGCAGCCTCTCCAGAGCTTCAGGCAGCCCTTCCTCCGTGTGGCCTGCGGGAGGACTGAAAGGCCGGGCTCAGAAAGCCGCCCGGCGTGCGGGAAGGGCAAGCAACCAGGAGGCCTGGGGGGTTCCTGCCCCCGGGACCCGAGGGCTTGGGGAGGGGGCACGGCCTGGCCTAAGGCAGGCACCTTCCCCACGGCGTCACCTGCAGAAACAAGCAGCTTCGGCCCTGAGCCTCATCTGGCCACCGCCCGCCGGCCCCACGACACGCCCTGGGCTGCTGTTCCCCGTCTCCCCTAATGGACAAGGGTGGGTCCCAGGGGGGCGGGGTCCCAGCCCCTGTTGGGCAGCATGCTGTGTGTGTGTGCCTTGAATGTGTCCTGGGGGTTCCTTCATTGACACCTACCCAGGGGCCTCCCCATTATACAGATGGGGAAGCTGAGGCTCAGAGCAGCGACTCATTTGTCCAGGGTCACCCGGCTGACCGAGGCTAGCTGGCCTCCCTTCCCGCCCCCATGGTGTGTATCTGGTCCCAGCCTAGCCACTCCCCCACTCGCGTCCCCTGGGTGCCATTGAACATCGAGTGTCGGGAAGGGAGAGGAGCCCCACCAACCACGGACTTTCATCCTCATCACTTCCTGCCATTCACACGGCCGGACAGCAGGTACTTACTCTCCTCAATGGACATCGCTTTGCTGACCTTCTCAAAGTCAAGCACGGACAGCGTCTCCAGAACCTGCTTCTGCTGCGCAGCTTCTTCCAGAAGGCACTCCTGGACCATCCTCGACAGATTAGGGGAGCCCAGTTTCTGGGAAGCAGCCCACAGTGCTCCAGGTTAGCCCAGAACGTGCCCTCTGAGGTCAGCTACCATGCCCGTGGCCCGCACCCGCCCCTTCCCCGTCCCTCCTGTCCCCATGCAGCGCCCTGGCATCTGGGGATTCCTCCTCGCCAGAGCAGCTGGGAGGACAGGGTGCAGGCTGGAGCTGCCGGGAGCCTGCCAGAGCGCGAAGCCAACCAGGACAGGCAAGCAGAGCCAAGAGAGCGAGACCCAGTCATGATGTCTGCAGCCCTGGATCCGGCCGGACCTGAAGCCCACCTGTGGGCCTTCCAGGTCTGTGAACCAAAACATTTCCTTCTGAACCAGTTTGGACTGGAGCTCCAGCATCTGCCACCTACCAAGTCACCACCGCCGCCTTTGGTTTACGGCCTGGGCTGCCTGAGGACCACACGGCTATTTGCCGCTCCCCCCACCTTGAAGCAGCCCAGCCTCCCCAGGTCGTCACCCACCTGCAGCAGCGCTTTGCAGACCTGGAGGTGAACCGTGAGCAGCACGTCTAGCTCTGGGGAGCCAGCCGTGAGCTCCCGGGACGATGCTTTCAGCGATGGTGGTGGAGGTGGACTCTTGTCCTTTCTGAGTGGAAGTGAGAACTGGGTGACTGGTCTGTCAGCATTCAGCTGCCTCCAAGGACAGGGGAAACCCTCCCTCCCTGGAGAGCTCTGACCAGGGGGGCCGGCTCCGGGTCCCAGGGAGATGGAGCTAAACTGGGGAGAGAACTAAGAAACGGAGACGCGGCAAATGGGGGCAACAACTCACACAATTCGGGGGCTGGGAAGGCTGCCCCCTACCCCCCGCCCACCTTCCAGGGCGTGCAATTGGCAGCAGAAGCCTGAGGGTCAAACGAATCCTTAGCTCAGGGACTCTGGATAAGTCTGCCTCCCGGAGCCTCAGTTTACTCATCTGGAAAGTGGGGGCAGGAACCCCAAGCTCGGACCACGGGGGGGTTGAGTCAGACACCAGCGCACCCGGGACCGTGTCAGCTCCATGGCAGGGGCTGAGCCCGAGCCCTGAGGGGGTGGACGTGACATGGGGATGCTGGGTGGAGATGCCCCCCGCTCCCCGTGGGGTCCTGAGAGGCGGGGAGAAATGTAACGCATTCGTGTACTTCTGTGCCGCTGATCGGTGGATGCCCGGCATGCTCATGGGGCGGGGAGGCTGCTTCCAGACTGCTCCGCAGAGGTCTCAGGTTCTACTGCGTGTGCTGGTGTCATTTTTTAGGATTTAGAAAGAAAGCCCACTGCTCAGGGCAAAGCTCGGGCCAGCTGAGGTGTCCTTGTTTGCTCTGTTGGTCACGTGCTGGGCACATGGGCCGGGACGATAGTAATAAAGGAAACAGATGCGGAGTGGGCGCAGTGGGAGTCACCGATGGGGCGGGAGCCGGCAGGCCGCTGGGCCCGAGGCTGGACTCCAGGTCAGCGCTGGGAGGGGCGCACTCACCGCAGGCCCTGGGCTTCCCCAAACAGGGCCAACTCGTGGGGGGCGATGTGGGCGTTGAGGAAGGAGAAGCTCTCCAGGATGCACTCCATCAGGCTCTCGGCGGACGCATGCTCCTGGCGAGCTCGGCGGGGCTGCGGGCAGATGGACGGACCGATGGCCAGGCTTCAGGGGCGCCGGGCCGGGGGGCATGTCCCCAGGGCCCTCCCCAAGGGGCCCTGCCACCTGGGGTGTGGGGCCTGACGCAGACCGTTCGGGTTTCCAAGAAAAACCAGAAACCTCGACGTTGTGGGGAGCTGCCCAGTTTTTAAATCCCGACAATTAATTGCAAATTATTTTTTAAAGACGGCATGGCTCAGGCCAGACAACCGAGGCCAAAGGCCGCCAGGTGAGCCTCTGGATTCCAGGTGTCTCCTCTCCCAGGAGAGCATGGTGGAAGGGGAGGAGTCTGGAGGCAGCCCCTGCCGGGGGGCCGGGAGAGTCAAGTCCTCGAAGCCTCCCGGGGGCCGGCCCCCGGTGGCTGAGCCCACAGAGTGCAGAGGGCTGACTCAGACCCCGCGAGTCAGAACTGGGCTCCTGAGGTTGATCCCAAGGAGGAAATCTTGAGCAACAAGAATAAGGCTACCTGCAGATGTTTCCTTGCTCGATGGGGAAAAAAATGTTTTCATTTGTATATATGCATGGGCGCACACACACACACATGGCCCCCATTATTCACAGTAATTATGGTGCATAAAGTCACCGTGACCCCTGGGATTTGAAACTGAACCAGTCTTTGCTCCCACGGGAAATGCAGAGGCCATGAGCCTCGGGTCAATGTTTTTTATCCGCCCATCAACACAGAGCTTTGTTTTACGCGTCTGTGTGTGTGTGTGTGCTCAGTCGTGTTTGATTCTTTGTAACCCCAAGAGCTCTAGCCTGCCAGATTGCTCTGACCATGGAATTTTCCAGGCAAGAATACTGGAGTGGGCTGCCATTTCCTTCTCCAGGGAATCTTCCTGACCCAGGGATGGAACCTGCATCTCTTGTGTCTCCTGTACTGGCAGGCAGATTCTTTCCCACTGTGCCACCTAGGACGCCTGTGTCTGCTTAAAGGCATCTCGTTTAATATAGACATATCACTGACTCATCAACACTGAACTCAAGGTCAAGGCTGAACAAGGCTTATCCAACACACAGACTTCCTCCACAAGATGCATCAGGAACACTGGCCAGCATCTCAGCCCAGCCCTTGGGGGCTGTTTCCAACAGCAAAGTCACCAAAAATAAGTGTTGGGTTGGCCAAAAGTTCATTTAAGTTTTTTAAGTTTTTCCCCAACATCCAAGGCTCCCTGTCCCACTGCCAGCCACGGCAGTGGGCATGCAGGGTGTGCCCCCGCAAAGAGCACACATACCTTCAGCCGGTCCCTGAAGGTGAGGACCTGGTACTCCAGCTCCCGGAGCTGCGGCGGCGCGGGGTCCATGGACCTCAGTAGGTCCAGGACCTCCTGCAGAGACCTCTCGAGGGGCAGCCCAGGCCCACCCGCCGTGTCCTCGGGGTCTCCTTCGTCGGGGCCCTCCTGGCTCCCCGGGAGCACGTGGTTGTGGAAGGGGGAGCCCCGTGACAGGTCGGGGGTTCCCACCCCCAAGTCTCTCCAGCCCGGCTGCTCCACGAACGAGCCCTGCGCCAAGCGCAGCATGTCCGGCAGGAGGCCCAGGGGCGGGGGGTCCTCTTGGGCCTCCTCTTCGATGGAGGAGTTGGGGCCCATGGCCGAGGGCAGGACGCCCACGTCCAAGGTGGATGCTGACATGCTGGGCTCCGTGTCTCGGGGGTCCTCGGAGCTGGAGGAGTCCATCTCGGGCAGCTCCTGACTGCGGCTCCTCAGGCCAGGGCTCTGAAGGTCGCCATCGGACAGGCAGCTGAGGACCGAGGGGGCCCTTGGCCTGTTCAGCAGCAAGGCCTGCTGTGCCCGCGGCTGCAGGACAGACTGGAGACAGACAGACAGGCCGGCCTCAGCAGCTGCCCTGGGGATCAGAGTGAGACCCCCGAGGGCGTCCCCCCAGACGTCTGCTCTGTGGACCCACAGCCTCGGGATGACGGGGGTCCCCCAAGGTGCCTGGCACCCGGAAGCGCCAGTGAGAGCCTGGCACCTCTCGTACCCCGCTCACTCGCTCCTTGCCAGCCCCAGCCCCCGAATCAGCCGCCGTGAACCCTCACCACGCCTCCCTGAGGGTGGCGCTCTTCTGCCCTCAGAGAAGCGAGGTGCCCGCAAGGAAGGCTGGACGTGCGAGCATTTTAACCCAGGCCGGCTGACACGGACTCTGACCCCCTCTGCTGCATCCTTTCCCTCATCAACCAGACCAACAGTTGACGTTCCTACAGCACCACCTGCTATTGTCAGGCGTTCTAGTAAGCACTCCTCATTGACAAAGTCGTTTATTTAACCCTCACAAAGCCCCATCAGGGCAGTGCTGTTAGTTTCATTTCTCTGATAACAGAAATGGAAGTCCAGAGAGGTTGAGTGACTTGCTCAAGGTCACACAGCAGATGAAAGGCATAGATAGAATCTGGAGCCCAGGCCATCTGGCTTCAGAGTCCTTGCTCTTGACTAGATGATTTTGTGACCAAAATATGCTGGGACCATCCTGGCCAGACAACCAAGTCTCCTCTGAATGCACAAGCTGCCTGGCTCATCTAAAGCTGCCTTCCCCACCTAAGGTCCAGAGGAGGGCGGCAGGGTGGTCCCGCTCCGCACCAGCCTCCCTCTGGGCTTGACAGAAAGTCCTTGTTTTTGTCCCGCATCCCTGGACCCTCTCTGGGGCATCTACACACAGCGGTGATCCGTGTACCAGGTTCTCTACTGCCCGCTTGTTGGTAACAGCAAAAACTGAACCTCAGTATCTTGTTAAGTAAAGTGTGGTTTTTAGCCAAATGCGGGATGCTGCACGGTGCCAACACGTCAGAGAAGGTCTCCAGGGCATCACCAGGGCAAAGGCTGCCGAGGGACACAGGCTAGAGAGGATGCATCTGCTCCCAGATGGCCCGGAGCCTCTCTGGAGGACCATGGAGGAAGGTGAGAAGAGTGCGGCGCTAAGGAAGGGACCCAGGCCCCTGGAGGTCACAGGAAAGAGGTGTCTCACTGCACACGAAGTCCAGCTATTACCTACTGGAAACACGTTCCAAAGTGCAAAACAAACCGGAGGCCAAGGCCGTGGCCAGGGTGGTAGAACCATCTGGAGAACCCCACCCCAGTCAAGCCCAGAACCGAGTCCAGAGGCCACAGAACAGAGGGCAGGCAGTGAAAAAGAAAAGGTACCCCAAAACACCCCCAAGCAAGGGAGGCTGAACCCAAAGCTTGCTGCCCCGGAGGTGCACACACTGGCCACGTGCTGACCCCTGGGGAGTCACCCCCTCCCCCACCACATCCCCGCCCAGTGAGGCTCACTCACCAGGTAGTATCTCTCCCGGAAGCTGGGGGTGTTTGGGGGTGTCCAGTTGTACAAGGAGCCCCTCCTGCTGCCTATGGAGAACTTGCCCGGGGCGCTGGGTGACACCAGGAAGCTCTCGGTATCCAGTGGGCTGGAGGGGAGCAGAGGCCAGGCTGTCATCGATGGCCGGAGGCCACTGGACCACAGACGGGACCAGGGGACTAGAGACAGAGGCTTGGGGGGGACAGGCACAGTGGAGGGACCCCAGGTCCCCGTTCCGAAGCCTCCTGGAAACGTCTCAGATACCCACTGCCCCGAGGGTCCTTAGCCAGATGGGGAGGGGCACCGATCGGCCCCTTTGATTGGAGACCCTTCGAGAAGCTCAGCAGAGCAGTGGCAGACACTCAGAGTTGCGTCTTCTGGGTAAACCACGTCACTGCCGCCCGCAGGTTCCCCCCAGGTCAGGGGGCGCCCGTCACAGTCCCGGGGGGGGGCTGCAGACGCACAGGGGAAGCACCGGCAGTGACGCTCCAGCCAGGCGCTTGCCTGTCCTTGGAGCAGCCAGGGCTGGGTCGGACCTCCCTGTCTCCTGGACATCTGCACGCTGTCTGCAGCGTCTGCATGCTGGCCTAGCTCACAGGTCTGGAGCCCAGCCCAGCCACAAGGGCCTGCAGCCCAGGGGCCCTGCCTGGGCGCCCCCCTGCCTGCCCAGGGCAGCTGTGGGCCAGTGGGACACCCAGGTCCTTGGGCCTTCCCAACCTGGGGCTGCAGGGCGCTGCAGGGTCACCCCCTGACCTGACCGCTTGAGCGGCGTGCTCACTCCCGCTAGACAAACGAAGGAAGAAGCGGGGGTTTTACCCATCCACGTCCACCCAGCTCACCCCCAGGGAGAAAGGACAGACGGGCCCCAACTGGCCAGAACGGGCACCAGAGTAGGGGAAGTGTGTGTCTGCCCCGTTGCTCCTGCAGCACCTGCCCTGGGGAATCAGAAGGGAGTTTCCTCAAAACACAAGGTTTCATTTGGGGGAAATAAAAGATCTCTGCTACCAAAAACCAAAACCTGTGGGAACCACCAGGATGGGGTGTTCAGTGGAAAGCCCCACCCTAGGCAGGGGTGGTTCCCAGGAGCCCAGGGGACTGCAGGGTGACCGCTCAGCCCTGGGCCTGGTGGGCGCCGGGGTCAGCAGGTAAGGAGATGGTGGGTGTAGGAAGGCGGAGGTGGGTTTCTCCTGGGAATCCAGCCCAGGGGGCTGCCATAAAGGGTCCTGGCTGCCCCAGTCTTTGACAGCCACTAATTCAAAAGTGAGGGGAGAAGAGAATTTAAACTCGTGGGGGGCAGGGGGCAGGCCGCAGCATGGACAGGGCTGCAGAAAGTGGTCTGGGCCCCTGCGTGTCTTGGGGGGCAGCCAAGGGCCGGGCTGCCCAGGGTGGATGCTGGGGTGAGGTCACGCCACCAGGGGGAGCCCGAGAGGCCTCTCCGCGGTCCTCTGCGGGGGGGGGGGGGGGGGGCAGTGTTTGGGGCAGACCCTCTGCCCCCACCCCCTCCTCCCCACCCCACTCCGCCCACCCCCCCAGGAGGGGCAGCGGGGAAGCGGCCGCCCGCACTCACTTCCACAGCACCTCCAGCTGCAGCTTGATGGTGCCCAGCTCTGTGATGTCCACCACGATGACCTGTGGCCGGGTGGTGAAGAAGTCGGTGATGTCGCAGGTCACCGCGCCCACCGCCAGCGAGCTCAGGCCGCGCAGCTCCGTCACCTGGGGGAGGGCGGAGTGGTGGGTGAGGGCGCCCGCCCCCCCCCCCCCCCCCCCCCCGCCAGCCCCTGCCCCGGGCCCCACCCACCTTGATCTCGAAGTTCTCGTGCAGGGTAGGAATGAAGGCCTTCTCCTCCTCGTCCCAGGTCTGGCTGTCGTCAGACTCGATGCGGCCCCGCAGCTTCCATCGCTGGCGGCCCAGACGCAGGAGCACCTGTGCGCCAGGCCCGAGACAGGAGCGGTCAGCCGCGCCCCTTGCCACCGCCTGGGGGCCCTCCCTGCCAATTGGCGGGGGTTGGGGGGAGGGACAGGAACCCAGCGGAGACCCTGGTTCCCAGAAAGCCCCACTCCCGAAGGCCTGGCGGGGAGCCCTGAGGGCCGATCCCAGAGGGTGGGCGTACCTCGTACTGGTCTCCAGGACAAAGACGTGCGTAGCCCACCAAGCCTGCAACACAGAGACAGGCTCACCTCTCCACTGTCCACTGTCCCTACCCCGTGGGTCACAGGCCCTCAGGGGGGAGCCCCCCGCCACAAGTGGGGGGGGGGGCAGTGAGCTCAGCCATCACGATGACAAGGGGCAGACCTGGGCCCTCACTTTCAACTCAGAGAGCAGATAGGACTTGCCCGAGGTCACAAGTCACAGGAGTGGAAACCCTGGGATTCTGACCATCACCCCCCCATCCTCAGCACAGGGTCCCGGAGAAGGTTGGAGGCTCCACCCAGCTGCCCCCCCCCCCCGCCCCGCCCCAAGCCCTGTCCTGTTACCTTTCATCCTGACGTGGAACTCGCCCAGGTGAACCTCCAGGGCCCCCTCGATGAGCCACATGTCCTGCCAGAGAAGGTGGCTCACTGCCTGCCCCGGGATGGACCACGGGGGACGCACGGACCCTGCCAGACAGAGACCACCACCACCCCCCACCCCCGGGGGCAGAGAGAGAGGCTGCCTCAGGGCCCAGGGAGCCCCCAGACCGGCCCTCCGCCACCCACCTCGGTGCACTCCTGCAGGCTGCGGCCCAGCTCCTGCAGGCTCTCTCGGGAGGCGCGGCTGGGCGGGCACCGGGAGAAGGCCCGCTGCATGTTGGAGGCGCCGTCGCGCAGGCGGCACTGGATGCAGTAGCCCTCGTAGAGCTCGTCCACCTGCGGGGCGCACGAATCTGGGAACTGTCTCCCTGACTCCATCACCTCGGGAGGCCACACCCCCAAGTCGTGCTGGCCCCGCCCCCGGCGAACGTGTGCCCTGGAGGCAGTGACCACGTGGGTCCCATCCACTCCCCATCGCCAGCACCCGGCAGCGCCTGGCGCACAGGTCGGGTACGATAAAACTAGTGAGCTGGATGCGTGGATGCGGTTTTCTTTGGTCAAACAGGGAAGGTGGGTGTGTGATGTTCCGTCCACCCGCGGGGCTCCCAGGGAGCAGAGCGAGTTCATGGAGGGGGTTGCCCATATAAAGCTTGAGGGCCTTGCCCTGTGACCTTGAGCGCATTCGTGTCCCCCCCTGTGACCTTGAGCGCGTTCGTGTCCCTCTCTGGGCCCCAGGCCCATCTGTACAGTCGGGTGGTTGGACTCAACACTCCCAGGCCTCTAACCCCACGCCCCTGACCCCCACCTCTGGGCTCAGTCCCCGCTGTCCCTGCACTGCCTTGGCTTTCTGCAGCCACCTGGCGCCCAGAGAGCCTTCCTCCACTGACCTCACAGAGGTCCCCCCTCAAGCCGAGAGGCGCCCCCGAAACCAGGCTGACCTTGCTGATGTGAAACTCCATCTTCCGAATGTGCCTCTCCACTGAGCGTGTTTGCTTCTCCCAGAAGAAGAGAAGATGCTTTAAAAGGAGCCTGGGCCTCGCCCAACCCCAAGCCCCTGCCACCCTCCTGCAGGTCCTGACACAGAGCTGGGCTTGAAGTCAGGCCAGCCCCTCACCCTCCGTGAGGAAGGCTCATCGCCGAGCCTCAGTTTCCCCATCTGTCAAGTGGGGAGGAAACCCAAGTATTCCTCTCACAGGATGGCCAGGAGGACGGAAGGCCCGCAGAGACATTATTCCCATCCAGCCAGGCCCAACTGCAGCCCACCTTGCTTACCCCATGCGGACAGAAGTTTCCCTCACCTTGTCCAGGTCGTAATAGAAAGCCTGTGGGCGGGGGGAGAGGTGTCAGGGCTCCGGCGTTCCTCTGAGACCCGTGAGCCTCCATCCCAGGGGCAGCCAAGCTCAGAGGACAAAAAGCCAGCGGCCACTCGGTCCTCTGAGGCCTGCAGTCAGCAAGCTGCGGTCCAGGCCAGGCAGGAAGAAGGAGCGAATGCGTGGGCTTTGGGGGAGGCAGCTGAAGGCCTGACCCCATGTGCCAGCTGTGTGTCACAGACAAGCTTCTCTACTCTCTGAGCCTCCATCTCCTTTTGAAAGAGGAGACGCCATCGCATCTACCCCACAGCGCTGCTATGAAAAGGACAGTGCAAACTCAATGAGGGGAACCACTGCGATTTGATTATTTAAGGGGCGACTTCAACCACGATCAGAGACTGTGGAGAGGCAGCCAGCAGCAGCCAGGAGTTCAGATGGAAGGAAACTGCAAATCCAGACTGGGCCATCCCTGCCAGGGGCCATGGTGTAGCCAGTGAAAAGAATCTATGGGGCGAGGGAGTCTTTGTGCAAAGGGCCAGAGAGTAAATATTGCGGGTTTTGCCGGCCACATGGTTTCTGCCTTTGGAGTGTGAAAAGCAGCCACAAACAGTGTGCCCACGATGGGTGTGCCTGTGTTCACGTAAAATTTATTTCCAAAACAGGCCCTGCTTTGCCCGCGTGGGTTAGGGTCACTGTATCTGAGCCTGGATGAATTTCCACCAACGCAAAGACAGACAGGGGAGAGTCTGCAAGTTGTGACTTCACCAGAGCCCTCTATATACCCACAGTCTGCGTACTTACAGTAAGGGGACGAGGGAGGAAAATATGGAAAGATAAATACTAGATGATCCTCAAGGGTTAAACAGGACAGGACAGAGATCGCGGAGGGGGGTCGGTCAAGCAAGAGGGAAAAGATGGATTAACCACTGCCCAAAGGGGGCATCTGTTTTCCTAGGTATGCATCTATGTGACATCGTATGTATGGGATTATGAAATGAAAACCCTATGTAAGAAATTAAGAAATGGGGAAGTTCCCAAGGCTTTGGAAAGAAGAGGCACTGTACAGCAATTCCTCGGAGACTGGGAACCGGGCCCCACGTACTTCGTCCCTCGGGGTGGCCCCTTCGTGGCCTCCGTGTACCCACCTATGAAATGGGAGCAGCTAAAACCTACGGACCTCCACACAAGCCTTGCCTTCCTTAGAGTTACTTCTAGAAGGGAGAGATAGAGGCAGCTGAACCAGCCGCAGCAGTGGGAGAGGGAGGTGCGGCAAGCGCTCGGAAGGCCGGGACCTGGGGTGGGATCTTGGCACCACTTCCTTCGGCCTCTGCGCTGACCCACCCGCCCCACCCAAGACAAGGCTTGACGGAGCCCGCCCGCCTTCCCTTCCCCCAGCGGCCGGCCCCCTGGTGAGGTGGAGTGGCCCTGCATCTCCCACTCTGCTGACCCTCAAGGTCTTCTCTGCTGGGGCCAGGATACAGAGGTGGGGGACACAATTTGATAGACTCATCCCCACCCCGCCACCACACTTGCAATCCCTCCATCAAGCTGGCGGCTGTTCTGTGGTTTGGTGCTTTGCAGGAGTGACGCTAGAATAAGCCAGAGAAAGTCACAGGCAGTAAGGCCTCCTGGTCTCTGCTTGCAGAAGTCTACTCCTGTCGAGGACAGAGGGGTCTCCTGTCCTTGATAAGCAGCCAGATAGAGACGAGGGGGCCAAGAGGGGCTCCCCAAGACCAGAAAGAACCTGAGCGCTGGAGAGACGCAGGGCCCCCCGCAGGGGGGTCCTGGACATGCCAGCAGATAAATGACAAGACAGCCAGTTACATTTAAATTTCCAATGAACGATGGATAAAATTTCTTTTTTAGTGTAACTATGTCCTGAAGATGGCAGGGGACATACTTACACTGAAAAATGATTTGTTATTTATCTGAAAATCAAGCTTAACTGCACATTGTATTTTTTTGGTTTGTTTTTTGGTATTGGGCTTTTCTGGAGTTTGTTTTTTTGTTTTCTAAATCCAGCTCTGCTAAGGGCATGGTAAAAGCCCAGAGCAGGTGAATCTTGGGCTGAACAAGCCACGGGGCAGCCTCAGAGGCGCCCCGACGGGGGCAAGCCTGCAGAGCCACGGGACGTTGCAGGAACTCACGGGGCTGATGCAGGACGGCCTCGGGGCCTCTGCCACACACCCTGGACTCGATGCCTGATCCAGCTCCCTGCCATCACCTGAGCCACCCTGCCTGCCGGGGACTGTGATGGCCAAGACCTACAGAACAGGGCCAGGTAATGCATCCATCCTCCTGTGTACCCATCTACCTCTGAGCTGCTTCTAGAACTAAAGGGGGGCTGGAGGTGACCCTAAGGTGTGAACTGCTGCAGTGTGAGGGGTGGGGGTGTCAGGGGGGAGCTTCCTACCAGCCTGTGTGGTTTAAGCCATCAGGGTCCAAGGGAGGTTCATTCATTAAAACTAAAGTCCACTCTGCCGGCCTCTGCGTCCCCGAGGTAGGTTCACACCCACGAGGCAGGCCGGGGGTGCAGCGGGGGCTGCTTCGCACCGGGCCGCTCAGCTGGGAAGGGCTGGGGAGGGGTCTCACCAGCCTGGAATTCCTGCGGGTGTCCTTGTGGCGTCCTGTCAGGAAATCCAGCTCGGCCTGCTGGGCGCACAGATGCTCCCTGTGGGGAGGACGAGGGAGAGGAGCTTGGGAAGGAGAAGAGGAGGAAAGAAATGGGCAGGGGTGCGGTGTTCCGGGGAGGAGGCAGCCACGGCCACCGGCCTGGGGAGAAGCAGGGTGCTCAGCGGGTTCAAGGGTCAAGGGCAGAGCTGGCCCCCAGCTGAGAGCCCGGCCCCCACGCACTCTGCTTCTGCATCCCACACAGTGTGTGCCTGGCACGGTGCAGAGTGGGAACTCCCCAAACAGCCCTGCCGACAGGAGGGAGCTGCTGCTATTGCACCCATTTTAGAGATAGGCAAACTGACTCTGAAGCCACCCAGTACAGGGTCCACAAGGCACAGAGGAGTCTGAACCCAGGTCTGAAACCAGGCGATGGCTTCCAGGGGCCAAGATCCTCCCCCAGCCATGGGAGCTGTGGGGGGGTGGGCACGCCTCCCTCACAGACAAGGGCGGGCTGTCCTGCTGTCTGGACGGCCGGGACCAGAAAGGGGCTTAACGAACCCCTATTCTGGAAAACACAGAAAAAGCCATGGGCCTGAGGGGACTTTTCACATTGTGTTTTGCAGCCAAAGACACTCTTGAGAGTCCCTTGGATTGCAAGGAGATCCAACCAGTCCATCCTAAAGGAAATCAATCCTGAACATTCATTGGAAGGACTGATGCTGAAACTGAAGCTCCAATACTTTGGCCATCTGATGTGGAGAACTGGCTCATTTGAAAAGACCCTGATGCTGGGAAAGACTGAAGGCAGGAGGCGACGGGGACGACAGAGGATGAGATGGTTGGATGGCATCACCAACTTAATGGACATGAGTTTGGGTGGACTCCAGGAGCTGGTGATGGACAGGGAGGCCTGGTGTGCTGTGGTTCATGGGGTCGCAAAGAGTCAGACACAACTGAGCAGCTGAACTGAACTCTGCGGCTGGCACTTGATGAGCCTCCATTAAAAAGATGGGGAATAAGTGACTGACTCCTCCTGTCCCGGCCTCTGCTCAGTCAATCAGTCGTTCTCTCCTTCACTCAAGCCCAGCCGCCCTGGGCTGCGGCTCCTCTGCAAGCTCCTACCGCAGGGCCTTTGCACATGCTTGCCCTCTGCCCAGGATGCTTGTCCCCCAGAGGCCAGCACCACGGCTGCTGCTCAGAAATGGCCAGGATGTCCCCAGGGCGGCCTCCGGATCCCCCTGTGTGACAGGCCCTCCAGGTGCGGCCTCTCCACCACCTCTGCTTGTCACTGCCCTCTGGGCACGTGAAAGTTATGGTGTTGACCCCATTACCCCTCTATGGCCATCCCCCCTGCCCTCCGTGGGCGTTCTGCATGAGAACGGGGCGCCCCAGCCATTATTCCCTCATCCCCGCACCGACGGAAGGGGCCGAGCAGGTGGCCGCACCCGGACATGCTTGTTGACTAAACGAACAACCAGGAGCTCGTTCTGTGTCGCGCACAGACAAGACCCAGCCCCGATGCCCAGGGAGAGGCAGCGAGGAGCGAGCGGACGAGGCTGAAGGATGCGACAGGCGGCATGCGACTTCCTTACTTGAGCCCCCTCTTCAGCGCTTCGAAGATCTTCTTCACTTGCTGGGGCTTGGGGTCCGAGCAGACGCACCCCTTCCGCAGCGTGCCGTACGTCTTGGAGGATTTCACGGGCATCCGGGACCTCACTGAGTTCCTGTGGACGGACTTTCTGTGAGAAGGGATGGGGGGATCAGGGTGGGGGTCTGGGCACAGCCCTTCTCGGGGACAGGCCCTTCGGGAACAGTGGCCAGAGCCCCAGGCGGTCAGGAGACCTAGCTGAGTCCCGCTTCACTGCCCCCAAGCTGCATGGTCTCAAGAAGGCTGCCATGGCTCCCTGGGTCTCAGCTTCCTCATCTGCAAAATGAGCGCTTGAATTAGAAGATGAAAAGAACAGTAACACTAACCTGATAGGAGAAATTAGCTTAGAGTGAGCAATACAATCAAGTGGCCTGAATGCCAATGCTGTCTGTCTGTCTGCGCTCTTGAGCAAGCTCTGTGCAGGCGAAGCAACACGAAGGCCAAGCCATGGTCCGGTGGCGTTTCCAGGCTGGGAGCCTGTTGGCTTTGGCGGCCCAGCATCCACCCCCCGTCCCTCTGTTAACAGCGCCTCAGTTCTCCTCTGGGGCATCTCCCCAGCCCTGCTCTTTATTCACGTAGTGTGGCGAGAGGTAGACTGACAAATCGCTGCACGCACGCACGCGCACGCACGGACACGCACGCACGCACACGCACGCGCGCACGCAGACGCACGCACGCACATACATCCATAGGCGTTCTGAGCAAACTCCTGTCCCAAGCCTCGGTTAGTCAACACATTCCACTCCCCTGAAAGAGAACTTCTCCCCGCTTCCTCGTCTTTCTCGGTCCACTGAGCACGAAGCTCCAGCCACGAGCCCTGGGACCCGCTCAGGGGACGGCTGAGCAGCAAGAGGGCAGGAACAGGCCGCCCGTGGAGCGGACCATCCACTGCCTCTACGCTCTTCTGAGAAAGAGGGAAGAGTAACTGGTCTCATCTAAAACTCTATATTTTTGGAGGTTTCTCTGTCAAAGCAACTTCACTTCTACACTACTATACTACCCGAGCCTCAGTTTTTTTTCATCTGTAAAATGGGAAATACAGCAGAACCTGAATCAGAGAGTAATGCTAAGAATTCTCCCAGGTACCAAGTCAAAGGTTTGACAGAGTGGGGTCACTTAGTAGGTGCTTAATAAATGTCCATTACTGTTAAAGTAATCGTATCCTATCTGTATCCTTCCCTGTAACACAGCCTGGAAGACAGTAGGTGCTCAGTAAGTACTGAGCTAAACTGAACAAGGGAAACGCCACATGTCGAGGGCGATCCTGGGGCTCTTGGCTGGACCTTGAAGGAAGAGCAGGAACAAAGGTGCCCGCTCCCCAAAGAAGGGTGAGCAGACAGACTGACCAAGGGTGGACAGGAGGAGCCGGTGGAGTCGTGTGTGATGGGGCAATGGACCTCCAGGGCAAGGCTTGACTGAAGCAGAGACGGAAGGTGCTGGACACAGAGGCCCTGCCTGCCTTGGGGACCCCAGGATGGGTGTGAGGAGGAGAGCGTCAGGTCCTAGCCAAGTTCCCGCTTCAAAGACGGTAACAGTGGCAACTGAGAGTTCCACAGAGCGGAGGAACGAAACCCCAGCCGCAGCTACTGGGCCGCTGAGCCAACCAACACCATCCCCGCGGTGGCCCAGGGAGCCGAGTGATAAGACGCAGCAAAAGACATCCGCTGAGTGTCCGCTGTCGCCGGGAACTTGCTAAAGGCTTTGTATAAATATCGACTTGCAAAACCACCCTAAGAGGCAGGTATTAACCCCTGCCAGACAGGGAGACTGAGGCTCAGGTGGGTGACTTGCCCCAGACCACGTCCCCCCAGAGGTGGGACCTCAACCCACGTGTACGCAGGTCCTCAGCCTGGGATCTCAACCACCCAGCTGGGGGCAGGATGCAGGACTCCCTCAGGTTCCCAGAACCACGTGGAGGATTTGTGAGACTCGGATTTGCTCTCCCGCGACCACCACCCTGCCCTGAAGGTTCTGCTCTGACAGGTCTGGGTGGAGCCTAGGGCTCCCCGTTTCTAACATGTTCCCAAGTGCTAACCAGCGTGCTGGTCCACCACCGGAGGACCACTTTCTCAGGAGTCCTCCCTTTCTGCTTTGCTCAGAGCCCTCCTCTGAGAGAAACCCAGCTTCAGGTCTCCCTGGACACCCTTCCCAGTCGGCTGCCTTTTCAGGGTTTCACAGCCAGGGCACAGGCTCATTCATTCATTCAGACACTCTGAATGAATGAAAGAGTGGGGCTTTCTCTGAGCCAGGCACCTCGATGGGAGCCAAGGGGCCAGAGTCCTAACCTTGGAGGCTCAAGGTCTGCAGGGAAGCGGGTGAGGGCTTGGGGTCTGGAGAGCAGTCAGGAGGCCAGCAGGACAGAGCTCAAGCTCCTTCACCAGGCCTGGGAGCAGGCAGCTGGGCCATCGATGAGCCCTGGTCCCCACGAGGCCTGACAGGGGGCTAGGCTGCCCTTCTAGTCTAGTCAAGATGCTGCGCGTTCCATGGACGGTCACAGAGCCCTGCTGTTGACTCAAGGGTGCTGTCCTGCCCCCCTGCCCTGAGCCCCGTGCTTCCCCAGCATGGATGTCACATCACAAACCAGCGTGCCAGAGACACAGATCCAAGCCTTGCCCAGGCATGCTGAGAACTCCATCCCAAGGATGCTGTGGGAAAGAAGGATCTGGAACCCCGCCCTGGAAACCTCGGGGCCTTGCCAAGCCAGAAACTCATATCATCTCTTGGGACACAGCTCCTGGTCAGCTGCCCATGTTCAAATCCTAACCACAGAGATCACGGGTACTTAATCTGCTGGAGCCTCAGTTTTCTCATCTGTAAAACAGGGATAATGAGAGGGCACGTCCGGCAGCGTTGTCATGAGATAGTCATTCACTCAGGAAATATTTACTGAGTTCTTGTTACGCACCAGATGCCATTCCAGGAGCCAGGACTAGAACAGTGACCGGAACACTGACAAGACCTCCACCCCATGAGCGGCCCTGCCAGCAGGGGGGAGGTCATGGGAGGCAGCAGCAAGCACAGAGTCTGGAGCCAGGGACACCATCTGGCTCCCCCGGTTTTAAGCTGTGTGACCTTGGGTCAGTTCTTGGATCTCTCTATACATCAGTTTTCTCATCTGTAAAATGACCACTAGAGGAAAGGTTGCTGTGAGAGTTTATAAATGTAGAGATTCAGGCAATTCCCAGGAAAGAGTAAGTGCTATATAGATGCTGAAGTTAATAACGGGGACTTTTAAAAGTACATATATCATTTATATCATACAGCAACTATTTGTTGTTGTTGTTTAGTCGCTAAGTCATGTCTCACTCTCTTGCCTCCAGGCTCCTCTGTCCCTGGGGTTTCCCAGGCAAGAATACTGGAGTGGGTTCCCATTTCCTTCTCCGGGGAATCTTCCTGACCCAGGGATGGAACCTGCGTCTCCTGCACTGGCAGGGGATTCTTTACCACTGAACCACCTGGAAAGCCCACAACTGTACTCTGGTTCAAAAGTTGTAATCAGACAGTGCCTAGCATCCAGAAAAGACAAAGGCTGGAGAAGAATTTCAGTTGGGTGAACAGGGAGGGCTCCTCCACTCGGGCTGTGCTTGACCAGGTAGCGTGCGTGGAGCCCTGACACAGAGCCTGTCAAAGCAGCGCTCACCCCTGCACCTGCTGCCGCTGTTATTCACATGCTGTATGTCAAGTGACGCTTTGCATAGCCCAGGAGGGGGCTCCGTGCCTCGCTCTCCCACCCTCCCGGATGCCACGTCACCCACCTCTTAGCACACAGCCTCCGCAAAGTTGTCATCTCCAGGCCGGCAGGGACAGGCAGGACTGTAGCCTCGAGAGAAGCAGGTTTCAGACAGGCTAGGGCCCCTGGCAGGTGGGCGGGCGGGCAGGCAGGTGCGGTGGGCAAGCTGCCGGGAGGTGGGGCTGCAGGAGCCCCGCTCGCCTGCCAGCTCCGGGGGCCCACGGTCCCCGGCGGGTGCGCACCCTCAGCTGGGCCCCGCTTCCTTCTACCTGGAGGCTTCCTTGCCCTCGGTCTGCGGCTATGCCTGAAAGCATGGGCTCTCGGGGAGGCTCTGCGCCTGGTGTGCCCGTCTGAGGCCCCACCAAGCAGGGGTGGCAGCCACTTGGAGCCGGCGTGGTGGCCTCTCCAGGGTCAGCAATGCAGCCTCTGGATGGTGAAATCAGGTTGCACGTCTGGCCCAGTGTCACAACCGCCAGGGCAGGGAGCACCCTCCAGGGCGGATGTTACACTAGCCCTGGGAGGACTCAGTAAATATTAAACACCCCCGGCATGCCAGACAGGCTTCCAGACGGGCACGTGCGACCCACTGGACCCATCCCTCAACGGGAGGCCGCCGGGCCGGCTGTCTGCCCGGGCTCATTGAGAAACATCGGAGGCCCTGGGTGCATGACTGCTGCAGGTGCGGGATCCAGAGGCGGGCGGGGCTGGCGACGGGGCAATAAATAATAGCATCGACCGGACAGCATCGACCGGACAGGTTTCGGGTGAAGACTCAGAGCTCGCTGCAAGCTCACCTTCCTCCTGCGCCGGTGGTACTCGATGCCCGGGGATGAGGACAGACAGGCACACACACCCGCCACGGTCAAGTCTGGTCTGGGTGCTCCGTGGGAGCTAGCCCGTGTCTCCTGACACATCTCTGAGCTCTAGCCCCCCATCTGTCCTTTCTCTAGTCTCCTCTCCTTGGAAAGCAAGGGCTGATGCTTCATTTTCACACTGACATTTCCCAGGCATGTCAGCGGAGGAATTCCCAAGGCGATCGGAACACCGCAGCAGATCCTGGCTCGGGAGGGTCCCTGCCCACTAGCCTGGGGGAGGGGAGAGCGGGCTGAGGAATGGCAGGAAGGGGTTGAGAGCGGCCCTGCCTGTCAATCAGGGCAGAAAGGGGACCGTGTCAAGACCTGACCTTCTTCACCTCCCCCCTTGTTATATACGGCCTTCTGTTATAATATATTATTAGGTATCAATATTTGTTACACATGGCCTGGTTATATTAATAACATTCCTTCACACCTTAGTGGAGAATTTCCAGATGACTTCCCCAAGTGAATTCTTTGATTATGCAATTAAAAAAAAAAAGTCCAGAGTCAAAGGGTGCCTGCCATCTGCCAGGGCAGGAATGTGGGCCGGGGACACCTAAGCGGAGCCTGGCTCTCCTCTTCTCCCGTCTAAGGTTATTTTTGCCTGACCCGCCCACACTGCTGAGTGCCTTGGCGAGCGGCCCTGTTTCAGCCTGGTTGGATTACCTGGGCAATTAAGCCAGAAGGTGAGGCCTGAAACCCAATCCAGACCCAGAGCCAAGGGTCCGGATCCCTGGGCGCAGGACAGGGACAGGAAGTTAAGGATAGACCTGTTGCTTCTCTGCCGTCGCGGGCAGCATCTCCCCACCCCCTGGCGAGGGGACTGCAGAGGGCAGGGCCCGATGGCAGCCCCTCAGCAAACTCAGACCCTGTGCAGGGCACGCCTCCTCTAGAACTCCCTGCGGGGCTAGGGGGGCGCTGGACGAGGACCCCCCAGGGGGGCCCGGGACAGTTACAGCCACCGAGGCCATCCCTCTCAGGCTGGGATACAGGCTCTGCAGGCCTCTGGTCAAGACAGCCTTGCTGAGGACCACTGAGCTCTAGGGTCAACAGGTCAGATCCGCCCTGTTCTCTTTCTGCCCAGAGACCCCAGGAATCCAGGAGAGGCCAGCAAGAGCCCAGGGACCCCCCTTGGTGCACTCTTTGTGCAGAGCTCCCAGCTGGGGCCTGAAGGGACATTTGCCATGGATTCAGGGGGTCCGGAGGCCCCCAGAAGCCTCACAGGAGGAGAGCTGCCAGCAGAACGGGGGACAGAATCAGTGATGAGGCAAGGCAAGAGAAAATGCAGGACCCTTTGGTCAAAACTTGCTAGGAACTTTGGGGTCGTGACAGTAGTGTGAACTCTGAGCACAGGTCACCGGGTGGGTGTGAGCTCGGGCAGCCGGCCATGGCCGCAGGGTCCACAGACCCCTCCCCACTGCAGAGCCCCCAGAGTTCTTCTATAGAAGTCAGAGAAAGGTGCCCTCCTGGAGGCCCAGCGGCACACTCGGCTCCATGCGTGCTCAGCCGGGGAGGGTCTCAGGGGCAGGAGGCCCCCGGGGCACATGCGCAGCTATCCTTAGCAGCCCCGACTACAGACCTGATGGGGTGAGGCCCCGGTGAAGCCCAGGAAGAGGCAACTCAGAAATGACTGGGTGCAGAAACAACATCGTTCCCTGGCCAGTTTGGGCGTATCCCCTCTCCACAGCATTTATGGAGCACCCACTGTGTGCCTTCCTCATAGGGGCACCCACACAGTCCCTCCTCGGAGGCATCAGGGGCGCTGGTGCTAACTCCCTCTGAGGCTTTGGCCAAATTTCTCCCCATCTTGGGGCCTCAGTTTCCTCTGCGCCAGCCCGTCTGTGGCTCCCCTCATGCTGTGCATGTCCCAGGAGTCCCCATAGGGCCCCCTCCCTTCCTGAGCACTCTCCCCCAGGCCGGCCGCATGCCCACTTCCTGCCCCTCAAAGCTCATTCCCACCCCAGGGCCTTTGCACCTCTGTCCCCCTGCCTGGAAGGCCTCTCCCCCCCACGCCCTGTCTGCAGCGATCCACCCCTCTCCCCTCCAGCCTTCACTGAACTGGGTCCCTCCTCCCTGGGGGCCTCCCCCAGCTCCCCGCTGCCTGCTTGCCTGTCCTGCTTTAACTCCTTCATGACACCTGCCCCCAGCTGCACCACAAGGGTGTTCAGCCCTGAAAGGAGGGTGCGGCCTGGGACGGGGCCTGACCAGAGTCGGTGTCCAGAAATACGTAAGGAGGGAATTCGGGGTTCCTAGGGTTTCACCGAACCTCAGCTGGTAAAGAATCTGCCTGCAGCGCAGGAGACCCCAGTGTGATTCCTGGGTCGGGAAGATCGTCTGGAGAAGAGAACGGCTACCCACCCTGGCGTTCTTGGGCTTGCCCTGTGGCCCAGACTGTAAAGAATCCGCCTGAAATGTGGAGACCTGGGTCCAATCCCTGGGTTGGGAAGATCCCCTGAAGAAGGGCATGGGTGCCCACTCCAGTATTCTGGCCTGGAGAAGTCCACGGACAGAGGAGTCGGGCGGGCTACAGCAAATGGGGTCGCAAAGAGTCGGACACTAACTGAGCAGCTTTCACTGGGAATTCCTAAGGGTGCTTCCAGGATTTCAAAGCGGACGCATCTCGGAACTGAGGAGCTGAGCGGGGTGGGAGCTGGGAGGGCCTGACTGTGGGGCCCATCTTCACGGCGGTGGGGTCCCCCTTCCCCAGCCCAGGATGTGGCAGTGAAGCTCAGGCCCCTGAGACTAAGCAGGATCGGGCCAGGTGAAGGGGGTTGGGGGGTGGGTTCTGGGGAGGTGGGGTGTGGGCCGAACAAAGGCCTGGAGGGGGCAGAGACGCCAGCGGGGCTCCCAGTGCCGCAGGCTGGGCAGACCCGGGGGACAGGACTGGACTCTTGGTGGGACGGGAGCCCCTGCAGGGTCTCAGGAGGGGAACGCCATGATGAGCTCAGGTCGCTGACGGGGTCACCGGCCCACCAGGCCCCGCGCCTGGCTTAGCTGTCGTCACAGCCGCTCGGACAGCCAGCTGGCGGGCCCCTCAGGATGCCAGGGCTGGCAGGGCCATGGCCCCAGGAGCAGGAACGCACCTTGCCCCCGGGCACTCCCTGAGGCTGGAGGAGACGTCACGGAGCCGTCCTTAACTCAGGTCCGGGGGTGAGTGCCTACCAGGCGTCTCTGCAGAGGCTGCTCTGCCTCCCTGGAAACCTCCCACAAGCCCCTGCTGTGTGCCAGCGTGCCCCAGCGGTCACCACACGTCGCCTCCCTGTTCCCACATGGCAAGACGGCAAGGGAAGGACACTGGGCCTCCCCCCGGGCACGTGAGGAAGCCAGGCTCAGAGAGGTGAAGTCACTTGCCCCAGGTCACAGGCAGCCCTGTTTCCTGTTCCGTCCACCAGGAAGGACATTCTATCCCAACCCCGCCTCCAGGAGACTAAGTTCCAACTCTGAATCTGTCTTGCTGTGTGACCTTGGGTGAGCGGCTCCACCTCTCTGAGCCTCAGTTTTCTGATCTGCCAAGTGGGCCTGATAAACTCAGGCAGATCAACTTATAGGATCAACAGTGAGGATTATGTGAGATGACACCTGTTCGGATCTGAAGCAAATTAGAGGTTTCTCCCAGCACTGAGTCTCACGCGTGCACACACACACACACACACACACACACACACACACACACACACACACACACACACACACACACACACACACACACACACACACACACACACACACACACACACACACACACACACACACACACTGCCCTGGGCTGCAGGGCTGGCATGAGTGAGAGCCTCAGGGCCACCGGCCGCAGAGAAGAACGCCCTCACCACCCTCCTCCCCAGTCCTTGGCCTTCAGACAAGCCTCCCCCGCGCGGCGTGGGCAGAACTTACGCGATCCTCCGGCCCTGGGCGCTGCTGAAGCCCGCGAAGGAGGCGCTCCGGCCCATGACCCCCACGGTCCCCGCGTCCCCGGAGGACAGGAAGCGCACTCTCACTGACATGGTGGTCACCTGCGGGGAGAGGGCGGGACAGTCAGCCTCGTGCTGGCACCTGGTGAGTGCTGACCGCAGGCCGGCCACCCTCCCCCGGGGCGCCCAAGGGACTGGGGTGGTGGGGGGGGTGCGGCCATGCTGCGCCCAGCTCACAGATGAGAACACTGAGGCTCGGTGAGGTTGTGAGAGCAGGAGCAGGATGGGACGCAGGTCTCTGCACTCTGCGCTCGGGTCCTCGGTGCCTGGGCAACGCTGAGTCCTCGTGCAGGAGGAGCCAAGTCCTGAGCCAGCTCTCCTCACCTCCCCTCTGCCAGGAATCCTGACCCCCTCCGTAGACTCCTACAGACCATCTCCTGTGAGGCAGACACCGCCCTCCGGGCCAAGCCCTCGCCCTCCGGGGCTCCTGGTGCAGCAGGAGGCTACTGAGCCTCCAGGGACAGGAGGGTGTCCCTAGCGGAGTGATGGGGGTACCGGACCCCCCCATGGACGAGGCGACCGAGAGCTGAGAAGGCAAGGCTGAGGAGGGAAGGAGGATAAAGGGAGGGGAGGGAAGAGCATCTGAGGCAGAGGGAACAGCATGAGCAAAGGCCCGGAGGTGCAGAGGACCAGGTGTAACCCGGAGACGGGCAGTTCAGTGGGCGGGGGTGTGGCCCCTGGTGAGGTGGAGAGGCCATCAGAGCACAGGTCAGGGGGACCTCGGCGGCCCCGGGGAGGGCTCCAGCCCTGCAACTGGCTGAGGGTGACTGGGAGCCGTGGGAGGTCTCGAGTAGGAGGTGACGAAGCCCAGTTCATAGGATGCCGGGCTGCGGGCATCGGAGGCTCCCAGAAGCCCCCGGTCCACTGTCCTGTCTCTGACCCAGCTGCAGTGAGGCCGGCCTAGAACCCTGACTGTCTTTTCCTTTTTCCAAACCATCTTGAGACTGGAAAAAAAAAAAAAAGCCACTACATCCCTTGGGAATATCGCCAACTGTCTTCCAGCATAATCGGAAAGTTCTCCTCCATATCTAACCTAAATCTCTGCTGCCACAGTTCCATACCTCACTCCTCAGCCAGGGTGGGGTCAGTGCTAGGATTCCAGGGACCCCACTGCCCTACGGGGGGGTCTGCACCGCACTGTCAGCTCCTTCCTGACATCCCCCCAACCCAGTGGCTGAGTCCAGGCTCCACGCCTCTGCCTGCCCTGGGGCCTCTGGCTGGAATAACATTCTCTTTGGGGCCACGTCTGTCCAGTGTCTAGTTCCACACTTTGTAGCCCCGGACGTAGGCTCCCGAGCCCTCACTCTGAACCCCCTGGAAGATTGGTGTAGCCCCCACAAGCTTCCTCCTCCTCCAACACCCCTCACACCCCTCAGCCCCGCACCCCCTGTGCGTGGGTGAACGCTAGAAACCAAAAAGCCAGACCTGGGCTCAAATCCCAGCTGCACTTGGGCCACTCCCTGACTCTGGGCCTCAGTGATCACATCTGTAAAATGGGAATTCCGAAAAGGATCAAAGAGACAACGGACTGAACAGCACATGATGTGAAGTAGACACCGGAAGGAGAAGGCGATGGCAGCCCACTCCAGTACTCTAGCCTGGAAAATCCCAGGGACGGGGGAGCCCGGTAGGCTGTAGTCCATGGGGTCGCTAAGAGTCGGACACGACTGAAGTGACTTAGCAGCAGCAGCAGCAGCAGACACCGGAAAGAGCTGGTTGTCTGCGCGGTGGTCGGCTGACCGAGACCCCGGCCTGGAGACCCCGATGCTGGGGCAGGTGAGCCAAGGAACGACCCCTGGCCCTGACAGTTTGCTGAGCACCCACTGCATCGTGACCCCAGTGCCAGGGGCTGTCCCACCCTGTAGACCCGTGAACCGCGGCCAGGTGTATGGACGGGGAGGTGGACGCAATCTGGCGGCGGAGGCAACGTTTACTGAGTGCTTGTAGGTGCACTAAGTGCCTAACTGAATTATCTTACTAGCACCACACAACCCCCTTGGCATAGGAGCCACCTAGCTCAGCAGATGAGGAAACGGAGGCTCAGAGAGACAACAGGGAGCCCGGGGGCCCAGCCAGGGAGCGGCGGAGCCAGGCTGCGGACCCAAGAGTTCTCAGACACGGGCACGGGCCCGCACCTCTCAGGTATGCGGTCCGGCATCCCCCACTCTGGGGGCTCACCCCAGCCCCGCGGGAGCACCCCCATGACCCCCACAGTGCCTACCTGGACTGCACTGCTGCCAGCTTGGGCCAGCGCGCAAGAGTCGAAGGTTAAATTCCCGGGAGTGTTGGCAGCTTGGAATCAGCCGGGACGGAATTAAGTGCAGCGTGGAAATGCTCAAGTGCTACAAATTAGGTTTTGAGGGATTTTTTTTCCTGCCGGTTGTTAAACTTTTATCAGCACACCGCTGCCCCCACCCCTATCAGCAGGCTCTGGGTGGCGCTGGAACCTCCTCAAACTGCCAAACACCCCCTCCCTCCTCCCCAGCCAAGCTGGGCTAGGAACAGGGGGAGCAGGCAGGGGGACCCCCAAGGCCAGCGGCTGGGGTGTGCCCACCCCAGAGGGTTGGGACCGGAACTCCTTCCCTCCGCCCCCCACCACCCTCCCTCCCAGGCCTTCTGGGGCCTTTCTCCAGTCTCCCTCTAGTCCTCCACTTCAGGATAAAAGAGAAAGACAGTTGCTAAACCACTCAACAGTTCCTCTGCATGCAGCTCACTAGAACAAACCCACCATCTTCCTGCCCAGCGCTAGGAAAGGAGGGCCAAGGAGAAGGAGACCTAAGGTTTGGTGCAGACCCACAGGAGGTATCAGCCCCTGGCTGTGGACTAACAGTTCACGAAGGGCCGTGAGGGCCAATGACCCTACTTTGCGTATGAGGAAAGAGGCTCTAAGAGGTGAAGAGGCTGGCTCAGGTATCTGCATTTCACATGTGAGGACAGAGGACAAGGTGTTTGGATGGCATCACCGACTCAATGGACATGAGTTTGAGCAAGCTCCGGAAGATGGTGATGGACAGGGGAGCCTGGCGTGCTGCAGTCCACGGGGTCCCAGAGAGTCGGACAGAACTGAGCAACTGAACAGCAATGCGAGGTCTGGCTGCCACATGGGGGCTGATCCTCTACTGATACCTCCACCCTCTGCCACCAGCCCAGATGTCACCTCCCCCAGGAAGCCTTCCTGGACCTCCCCCCAGTCCCTAACTCCCTCTAATTACAGTGGACTGTGAAAGGTGAGGTTTTTTTGGTCTCCCCCACTAGACAGTTGCCAACAGGCAGGGCCAGGGACGTTCTCTGGGGCTTGGAGGATTCATAGCACATCTTTCTGGGACCAGAGGCCACGTGCTTCCCTGACTTCACCGGGCTGTGCAGCTCAAGGCGGAGGCCGTGAAGAACAGGATAAAGATAAGAACTTCGACTGTGTGCTGGACTCCAGAGTGGGGGACAAGCGTCTGCTGTAAGGGCCAGATAGTGAAAGTTCTTGGCTCTGCAGGGAGGCCTCGTAGGCTTTGTCACAGCTATGCAGCTCTATCGTTTTAGAGAGAAAGCAGTCACCGACAATATGCAAATGAATGAGCCTGGCTAAGTTCCGCCTAAACTTTATTTACAAAAGCAGCAGCTTTTGATAGATGACCCCTGGCCAGCACTCTGCCTGCTACCTGCTCCAAAAGCTTAAAATCTCATTTAATTCTTTCATCACTATAGGAGGCAAGTATCATTATTATGGTTCCCATTTTGCAGATAAAGAAACCGAGGCTCAGAGACGAGGGAAAATAACTCATCCAAGGTCACACAGGTCAGAATCTTTAGAGCTGGGTTGAACTTGAACATGACAGGCTTCAAAGCCTGGCTACTTCATGCTAGGCTGCACCTGCCTCTCTGGGGGCTGTGCCGAAGACACACAACCCCCCTCCCCCGCACCCACCATGAGCCTGAAGCGGGGGGAAGGGGGCCCAGAATGAAGCAAGTTCATGACCGAGACCTGCCAGGCTAGAATGCGGCTCTGGAGGTGACAGAAACCCAGCGCCATCCCCCGCAGGCTTCAGCGGGGTGTGGAGCCCAGGTCCCTTCGAACCAGAGTCGGGTCTCAGCAGCGCCCCCTCCTGGCCGGCCTCTGGTAGGGCCGATCCCTGCTCGCGGACCCTTGGGATCGCACCTAGCGCGGACTGCAGGACCGCCCCGCTCCGGTGGACTGGGCATGAGCTGGCCGAGCTGAGACCCCTGGGTTCCCAGGAGCCCCCACTGGGCTCCCGACGGGTCCCAACGGATGTCTGTCACCTTTGACCAAGGGTCATCCTCGTAATGATGCTCCACTGTTGACACAACAGCAGACCTGACCACCCAGAACAGAGACCGAGCACTCTGGAGCTCCCTCTCTTCCCCCCAAGACCGTCCGCCTCCTCCGCCCTCTTCCCCTGCCGGGCGATCCTCTAGCGGCTGGGCTGTGGGCAGGTCGGGGGAGCCGCCGGCACACTGCAGGGCGTGAGAAGCCAGCCGGGGACCTCGCGGGGGCCGCTGGGCAGAGGAGAGAGACAGAAGTCATGCAGACACCAAACCTCGGGCGGCAGACAGGACGTGTCCCTCGCTGCCTCTCTGCGGCCGGGCGCCTGAGGCTTGGGGAGCGCGGGGCGGGCAGGCGGCTGAAGGGGCTCCTCACCCAGCAGCAGCTCCCCAGACACTGAAGGGTTCGTCCTGGGTCTCTCCCCGCCAGGTGCAGCCGGAGGGAGCCGGCCCCTGCCCCCGCTAAATCTGTCCCGTTCAGTGCTGCCCAAAGCTGCCCGCCGGCCACGGGAACCTGCAATTTCACCTCATTTGGAGGTGATGCTTCTAAATTTAACGGTGTGGGCTCTCGAGGCTGGGCAGCGTTTATGCCCGAGTCCCTCACTTAGGGTTCTTTTAGATCCGCTCAAGTGCCAGCCAGGGATTAGTTTGCTTATAGGAGTTTCCAAAATAGACCTTGGTTTAGCAGGAAAGGAAATGGCAAAATAGCCCAGGATGAGGGGTGTGAGTTTATACCGAAGAGAGAAGGACTGCCGGGGGAACCAGACTGTCTGCACCAGACACAGTCCAGCTCCCTCGTCTTCTCAATGGCCAGACCCAGCCCAGAGGGGTCAAACGGCCTGCCCAGATCACCCTCAGGGGAGTGGATGGGCCAGAAGAGCCAAAACTCCCCCTCCCTGCCCAAACCCAGCCCCCTGCGCCTCCTCCCACCCCGTAAAACCCCATTGCCAACCGCCACCCAGGATGGGAGCCGCAGAGACCCCCAGGCCCACCAGCTCGGGCTCCCCCAGTCTCCGCCGAGCCCCTCCCGAGTCAGGTTGCCTGGGACTGGGGAGACGTGCCCACAGAAGGAGAACGTGGTTCCAGTCTCACGTGATCTTGAACAAGTTCTCTCCCCTCTAAACCTCTGTCTCCGGTCTGCAAATGGGGAGGACTGGGCTAGAACGCAGGCACTCTCTGGGCCAATGAGGGACGCACAGCGGGCGCGCGGCGGGAGGGCTATCTCAGTCTTTAGCCCCCCTTTCATCCCGGCTCCCTGGCTCCCTGACACTTGTCACCCTTCCTGTTCGACAGAGCAGAGCTGGCCCCAGGCACAGAGCCAGGGGCAGCAGAGAGGGAGCTGGAATGCAGTCGCGTTGTTTTGTTTTTGCTGAATTTCATTTAAGGTAACCGTCCATTTAGAGAAGATGTCCTCTGTATGATTTAAAGCGGGTTGTTTTTTTTTTTAATGCTGTTTAAATGAAGAGAGTACGGACTTGAAGGACACTTGGTTTAAAGAGAGCAAGTAGGAATCCCCTCTGCCCAGCAGGTCACATTCCTGGGTCCTACCACCAGCTCTCAGGGGCCACTGTGGAGGGCGCACCTGGAGCCAGGAGGGGACACCCCGGATGTGTCTCTGCAGACAGACAGCCAACCTCACGGGGGCAGATCAGCTGACAGTTCCGGCTTCCGGTGTAAGACAAGAGCAAGTAGCTCTTGGGGAGCCCAGCTGGACCTCAGAGTTCATTGTCCCATGGCTGCACGGCGAACAGAAACTTCCTGACTGCCAGACGGTTCAAGACCAGATGCTGGTGTCAGGACCCCTGCTGCAAGAGGGCCGCTTCCTCCGTGTATCATGCGGTCCACGGCCCCCTGTGTTCTTACCGCCCAAGGCAGGCCTGGAGGAGTTCCTGTAAGATCCTGTAAACCCAGCCTGTAGCCTGTCCTGGACCAGTCACAGGACAGGGCAGGCAGGCCCTCTGGTTGGACTTCACAGCACACCTGTGCCCATTTCACAGATGGGAACACTGGGGTATGGCTACAAATGGCCAGGTGCAAGACACAGCTTCAATAACCTATTTGTGTGGCCCCTAGGAATATGATTTTGAGGAAGGATGACATGAGAAAATTTTGAAATAAGATGTAAGTAAATTTTCCTAAAGGAAATCAACCCTGAATATTTATTGGAAGGACTGAAGCTGAAACTCTAAGACTTTGGCCACCTGAATTGAAGAGCCAGCTCATTGGAAAAGACCCTGATGATGGGAAAGATTGAAGGCAGGAGGAAAAGGGGGCATCAGAGGACGAGATGGTTGAAAGGCATCACCGACTCAATGGACATGAATTGAGCAAACTCTGGGAGATAGTGGAGGACAGAGGAACCTGGCATGCTCCAGTCCATGGGGTTGCAAAGAGTCGGACTCAACTGAAGCTATTGAACAACAACAAAAACCAGAGCAAGATGTAAACTATATACAGCATGTTTTACTTAGGTGAAACAATACCTTAATGTAGTTGGAAAAAAGTATTAATTTGAAGAGAATCAAGAGATTGATTAAGCTGCCCTTGGTCAGGCAGTAATCAAGTCGCCAAGCTGACTGCATGTCTGCCAACTAGAGAACACTGCTTTTCAGGGTGAATCTGGGGTCAAAGGAGAGATTTCCCTCTTTAAAAAAAAATTTTTTTTTCCAAAGGTCCACAGATATTGTCTACACTCCCAGCTAACTCCACTGGGGCTTTACCAGGCAAAGATGACTCATGAATTTCTGTGAAATATTCAGACGGTATTTTAATTTAAATGGCCCCCGATCACCACTGACACACTCCATCGGCGGGTTAAGCAGGGGTCTTCCGGAAGAGCCAGCAGGTCTTAGCGGAAGCAGCCTCCTGGGGTCCATGGAGGGGAATGTGTATGGGTGTGGAGGTGGGCAGGGCAGGGGGCTGGGCTGCCCAGGGAAGAAAGGGTGATGAAGCTGGGCCTCGGGGAACACCACCCCCACCCTGGTCAGCCTAGGACCAGGAATAAAAACGGCGCCAGGCCAAAGGATCTGGGCATCTCGCCACAGCGCCCCTCTGAGGGGGGCACTGTGACCACACCCCCATTTTGCAGACTGGGAAACTGAGGCTGGTAGAACGCAATGGCCTGAAGTAACAAGTGGCAGCAGGTCTTCAATAGTTCAGCTTAAGGGACTTCCCTGGTGGTCCAGTGACTAAGACTCCATGTTTCCAATCCCGGGAGCGAGGGTTCAATCCCTGGTCGGGGAACTAAGATCCCACATGCCCCTTGGCATGGCCAAATTAAAAAAAAAAATTCACTGTAAAATGCATGCAGGTGGGCGGGCATGGCCCAGCTGTGCATAGACCTAACCCTCATCCTAGGGGTGAATAGGTGTCACGTGGGTGTCAGGTGGAGGGTGCTGATTGGGGTCCCACTCCAGAAGCAGCTACGGGAGGGTCTCTCGCTCAGCACGGCTGCCGTTTGGGGCCGGCTCATTCTTCGCCATGAGCATTGTCCTGTGTGTTTACAGTTCCCCCCACCCCACACACACCAGGAGCTCTCCACCCTCCAGCTGCGATAACCAAGATTGTCTGCAGACACTGCGCTGCTCCTTGGGGCGAGTGGGGGGCAGAATGGTGACCACGGTGCCCGAGGGGAGCAGCCAGGGTAGAGGCCGCTGGTCAGATCTGCACTTCAAGGCCGGGATCAGCCTGCTGGGGGTCAGGAATGAGTTCTCACGGGCAAGTGGGGTGGTGCTGGAGATGCGGTATTCTGTGGGCTACACGTGTTGTTCAGGCTTCTCCTGACCTGAAAAGGGAGGCGGATGCTTGGGGGGCCTGGCATCCCGACGTCTTCAGAAGGGGGCCTGGGCCACCTCCACCCTTCACACTCAGGTGCACGCGCGTACACACACCCGGGCATGGATGAGAGCCTGGAAGCCTCGCTCAGGACTTGAGCCTGGGGTGGAGGTTGGCCTCCTCCTCGGGGGGTGCCGGCCGTGGCATCCGAGCTCTGCAGGAGGTCTGCCTTCTCTGTAGAGCCCCACCTGGAGGCCGGGAGAGACCCAGAGGCTGCGTAGCTTTCTAATCCCAAGGAGCCTGACTGCTGATGGACGCACACCCTGGTCTGGCAGCCCAACCCAGGCCCGGTTTGGATGCAAATCCAGGCGGGCAGAACTCTGCCGGCCACATGGGCCGACCACTCTGCCCTGGATGAAGCCGACTGGAATTCTCGGTATCCTGGGGACACAGAACGTCCCCTCACCACACAGCCAGACATCAGCGCCCAGGAGTCTCTCTCCAAACCAGTCCAAAGGTCTGGGAAAGAATTCTGTTCCTGGCTGCTATTTGTAGAACAGTTAGGGCCAATTTCTCCACCAGGGATGGGGTCACAGGCACAGGCTCCATGAAAATGTGAGGATTATTTTTAAAATCAGGAGACTGAAAAATGAACTTTCAGGTCAAACAGAATGTTTTACTGTTAATTATAAAATTGCATTACTTATATATATTAATAGGATATATTTTATCACATAATACATTCATCTTTACACCAGTCATAAAATACTGTACAATTTAATACTTTTTGCTGTGTGGGTGGGGTGCAGTGGGGATGAAAGCCTTCACGTGGCCCTGTCCTTGGCCCCTACTCCCATCTGTCAGCCTTCAGACCAACCCTTCCACCTCCACCCCAGGGTGGGGGGCGCTCTCCAGCTCCCTCCCACCAAGCCTGTATTACGCCAGTCAGCTTCATCCTTCCTGCCCTTCTCCCACTTCTCAGCTTTATCTCCCTCCTCCCTCCTTCCAATTCCACTGGGCCTGGCCCCGCTAAAACAGCCACATCACACCTTGCTCTTGACCCAAATTAGCTCATCTGAAAGCGTGTCCGACTCTCTTGCGACCCCATGGACTGTAGCCTACCAGGCTCCTCTGTCCATGGGATTCTCCAGGCAAGAATATTGGAGTGGGTTGCCATGCCCTCCTCCGAGGGATCTTCCCGACCCAGGGATCAAACCCGCATTTGCTGTGTCTTCTGCATTGATGGGCAGATGCGTTGCCACTGAGCCATCCAGGAATTTCAGCAAAACGTGGCACCGCGTGTTTCACCTCATCCCTTTCCGGCCTTTGAGTTTGAGGAAGGAAAGCACAGGTGGCCAGCCTTCTCTCAGCCGAGGCCTTAGCTGCCAGGTCTCCATAATGGGCTGAAGCATCCTTGGACAGAAGTCACGCGTGGACCTGATTCCTAGTGAGAGCGCGTGGATTTCCATCCGTGCCTTGTCCTTAGAGTCTCTTCTTCTGGGACTCACAGATTCATCCTCGCTTGTACAGTTATCTAGCTTGATCTCCTTGATTTCCAGGGGCTGTTGATAAATCCTGGATGGGGATCTTTTCTTGATTTTCTTCCAGCCCCTCACTTACTTTCTACCTCGTTCTTAACGGGGTGTGCGTGCATGTGTATGTGTACGTGCGTGTGTGTGTGTAACAGAAGCTTCAAATATTTATATGACTGCCTCTGTGAACATTCCTTCTGTGTTTCCGAGTTAAGAACCTACTTTTCCACCTCTAAAATTGTTTCAGATCTGTTGACCACCGAAGTCTAGGTCCCCGGAAGAGAGTTCTGTCTTCCTGGCAGCCAGGCTGGAAGATCCCCAAGGCATCTCTTTCCTCCTCCTTGGTCACCGTGTGCCCCGCTTCTCAGAAACACCCTGAGTCTGTCCCCTCTTTCCACCCTGGACCCCAGGGCCAAGCCCCCATCCCCTCTCTGGTCTCCACTGGTCTCTCCTCCTCCACTCGCTCTCTGCCCCTACCTGAAAACCAGAGCAACCTTTTAAAAATGTCTATCAGCTTCTTATACCCCACCCGAAGTTCAGGGCTTCTGGAAACGAAAAATGTCACTCCTCATTGTACCCACAAAGCCCCAAAGGAGGCGGTGCCTAAGGATGGAACCCAGGCAGGGATGGCAGAGAGCTCCCTGCTGACCATCCAGGAAGTCAAGAGCCCCCTTGGTGCTCAGCCACTCAGTCGTGTCCAACTCTTCCAGCCCCAGGGACTGTAGCCCACCAGGCTCCTCTGTCCATGGGATTTCCCAGGCCAGAATACTGGAGTGGGTTGCCATTTCCTTCTCCAGGGGATCTTCCCGACCCAGGGACTGAACCCAGGTCTCCTACATTGCAAGCAGCTTCCTTACCTTCTGAGCCACCAGGGAAGCCCCAGGAGTCTCCTTCCTACCTCTCTACCCCTCAAACATGAATCACAACCAGGTCTTCTCAC